CAATTTCTTACTGGAATAAGCAACCTCAAGAAATTACACAATGATCTTGCTTTTAAATCAATGTTTGCAAACGAAAAAATGCTACATGGTTAATGCAAACTGTGCACTCTAATTAACTTATGTGTTCTTTCTGCCTATTTTTCTTATGATAGAAGTTGCTGTTATGTATTGATTGTTAATGTGCTTTTAGTGTTAATGTACAGTCAAAGTATTATCCTTCTATTTTGAAAAGTGGATCCCAGGAAGAGTAGTTTAAATAAACAAAAACAAAATATACAAAGACAAAATGCTAATACAGTTACAGTCTTGTATCTCTGGCTTTTTACCCATTTGTTAAATCATCTGCTGACAATACCTGATTTATTCCTCTTTGTCTGGAGCTCCTCTGTTACACTGGACCATGGCTTCATTAGGTTAAGGGATGACTCACTGCTGTGTGTGTGTGTTTGTGTGTGTGTGTGTGTAACTGTGCATCACTGGAAATGGAAGGAAGAGGGATTGATTGTGTAAATGTTTCAGAGGTCCGCCCATGTAAGCTGGCGTCCTTGAATGCCAGAGGGAGCAGGTGCCACGAGCTAAAAGGGACCTTAATTACAGCGCGCTATAGCTAGGACACCCTCTGCTCCGGCCCATGTGCTTATTTCACAGATTGGATTTGTAGAATGATGGATGGAAGGCTATTCATCTCACATAGGACTATTACGTAAATGCTATCAGGGTTTTCCTTCAGTCCAGTAGGATGTGGTGTGCTATGTAACTTGAACTGTTCATGCTATAGTTTACAGTGGTGCAGTGGTAAAGCAGTTGCTCGTCTACTGAAGGTTTGGTGGTTTGAAATGTGTGAAAGCAGAAGTAAAGGTGAATGCAGTCTGGGTTTTTTCCAGTCCAATAGTACATTTTTGGTATAAATAACCACTTTTTTGTCAAAAGATTCAAGATGGCGTTTGAGTTTGTTCACTTTTGTTATTGTTGTTTTCTGTTTAACATGAAAAACAAAATATTTAAATTATATTGCCTTGTGGGGGCATTCTTTCTGTAATTTGTGAGTATAAAAGTAACCACCATCTTTACATGGTCAAGTATACCTAACCATAAGGAGAGTTCAAATAGTGCCTGTGAGAGATCGCTAGATTACTCAAACATGCATGGATGACATATACCTCTACAGGCATATTTTTGAAGAGGGAACAGCATTATAACATTGTAGAAAGCTCTTTGTTTGTTTTTGTTTGTTTGCTCTTTATTTGATATTAAAATAAGTTACATAAAAACTTGCCACATTTGCATTTCTGTCCTTATCATATTCTATTCATTCTTCAAACTGACTTGTAGAATAATAGTTATGAAACACAAACTTGTAATAGCTTTAATTCTTCAGGGCATGTTGACAACTGTATGTGCATGTATGCATGAGATATGACAGCATTGTTTGGGCTGAGGAGCAGAGGAGTGGAACAATTGTTTATGAGTGTTTTGTGCTGACTTTTTGAATGCCAAGATTCTGATCTCATGTAATGCTCTGACTCACTGGGATGCATATGGCAGGTTTTCATGTTTTTCTGTTTATTACTTGGTTTGGTAGGATAGCAACTGTGGGAAATATTTATTATACAGTAGTTTCACATCAGTGGCAGTGAGGGAAAAAAGGAGCGTTGAGTTCTAAACAAAATACCGCTACATATGTCATCAACACAGAAAATTCCATTATAAATGACAGGGACAATTTACCTGCAAGACTAATGCATGATGTGTAGGTATCTATTATATTTTAAATCCTAAAAAACTATTCCTATTTGTAATCATAAAACAATATTCTTAGCTCCTAGCCATCATAATCATAGGTTCATAATAAAGCTATATTTATCCATACACCATCAAATCTTCAGCTAAACAATAAAAGCCGTCTGACTTTCTCATTGTAGATGGGCCTACACCATGTGACCTAAATGTGCTAATCAATGACTCAATCACAGTGCTGGGATGTGATGTCATTAGAAACCAAGCAAAAGCTGAAAAAGAAAAAAAGACTTTCAGTTTGTAAGTGGAGCTTGGCAATATGGCATAAACATGTATCATTCTTTTCCTTGTATTGATAGATAGCTTGCTGTACTAAGTCAATGTGTGTTTTAAGTATTTTTTTTCCCCCACAGCTTTAGTGCAAAATGGGTATATTTGCAGCTTTCTGGTCAATTTCATGTACTAGAGGACATCACACATCACTGCTACCATTACACCTAGCTATGGGGTTTAGTGTGAAGTTTGGTACTTGTTACATCAGTCACATTGGTCCTCAAATGTCCAGACCCCACCCATCTTTCCCCTTGCCCAGTTTAGCAGCTCAGTTTGAAATGTGGTTGTGGGTAGAGTTTTTGTGTTTAGCTCCACTTTAAACAACACAAAAATATATTCCCTCAATGTAAGTCTGCTCCAAACCACATGATAATTGTCAATTTTAAATGATTAGACCTTGATTGATTGAATTAGAATTCTATAGACTATCCAAGTATGCTCAATTGTATTTTAGCCTACAGAAGATTGTAAAGTACCAGAAAGTCATACACAAAGCTACAATGCATCCCCTCACACAGAATGGATGTGCTCACTTTTCTGTCACTACTGTTAGATGATTAAACATGACATTGTTTAGAAATTTATGCAGACCTCTTCATTTCTCTTGTCTCTGCCTGCTTTGGTTGTCAGCAGATTGTAGTGCCCATGGTAAAACCCAGAGCCAAACATTTTAAAATACACCACTGTCTCTATGCGGAAGCTGATCCTCTGCATTTGTGTAGAATGGTGGTCCAGTCTTTGGAGTACCAAGCTGGAGGATACCTTATTTTAGTCAATACATTATATATTGCTATATTTTTGCATAATAAAAATAATAATAATAATCATTCACTCACTCCATACCCAGTGGTGGTAAGCTACAACTGTAGCCAAAGCGACGAAGCAAGGCTGCCAACCTGCGCCACTGGCCCATCTGACTACCACCATCGCTCACACACACACCATTTTCATACTAGGCCATGTGAGTGAAGTGCCTTGCCTAAGGACACAACACAAGGTTTTGCGACTGACGCCCCACTGTGGCACCTGAATTTCCCAGTTGTCTCCCATCCAAGTATTAACCAGGCCATTATTGCAGAATTATCAGTAATACAGTATTGGCAAACACAAATGAAAATATACAAAATATTGCAAAAATTGGCTCTCAACAGTAGCATCTAGTTCCAATCAGAGGAACACTCGGCTCGACTAATTTCCAGTGTATTGTAATGTCTGTGTGGTTTTTGCCAAGTCGCACAAAATCAATAAATCCTGACAGATCAGGCAGTGGACAGGGAGCTACGGGTGGACATCACTGACAAGTGACAAACTGTTTAACACAAATTTGTAAACACTTCTGTGTTTACAAAGGGAAGGGATGTCTTTGTGCTTTGGTGCTAATGCTAATGCTAAAGTTAATTTCAGAGACTAATAAATATTAAAATAACACCACTGACAGAAATAAATCAGAAGTGTCCTCCGGTGAAGAAAAGTTCTTGTCCTTATGACTAATACATGGAACAATTTGTCAGTTTAATGATGTCCTCTTCTGGATGCCAGATCAAGTGAGTAAAGCTTTTAAAAAGTGAATACAAATATCACAAACTGTCAGTGTTACGTAATATACAAAATATCATTCAACAAGTTTTTTTTTAATAATAAAATGTATGTGATGACATTTAAGAACCTTTCCTGAATTGCTTTAGAATGATTTTGAGCTGTATCAGAACTAGTGTAAGACTGTTATACACCTATGGAACCTATGGACCACTATGAAAACTACTTGGTCAACTGAGAGGTTACACAAATATAAGACTGCATTTTAATATAAAGGAAAGTACTATTATTTAATGTTGAAAATCATATTCTATTGTCTAAATAAAGAGTATTTTGAATTATCATCATGGTATCAGAATCGGTATTGAGTATCGAGTCTATTACTTTTCAGATTGCACAGCCCCAGGACAAGCATAATACTCCATGCATGAGCCACTCTATAATTCTGCTGTAAACATGCTGACTAATGCAATCTGGTATCTGGACTTTCAACCCTGTTTATGTCATGTCCGGGTCTGCTCCATAGAAGTGACATTGGTACATACATTATCTACAGTAGTCCTATAGGAGACGTACTGTTTGCTTGCATCTCTCTACAATACTGTACGTGGGGAGAAACTGCAATGCACCATTTTACTCCACATATTGGAAGGATGCTGTGATAGAGAGATGCTGAAATACTGGCATAAAGATGAGAAGAGCGAGAGACATCACCAAGCTCTCAATACCAAGCTCCATTTCACATGTACATGACAACAACACTTCAAGGTCTAACAGTATGTATGTGTATATGGCTTGGTTGTACTTGAGTTTCTAGGTTTACACACACAATATGCACTGGGCCCCATTGATCTGTAGTGCATCTGCAGAATGTTGAGTCCCATCTGAGGAGTAAATATCTATGTAACTTTTCTGGTGGGGTGCTCCAGAGGCTGCACTGGCACTGATTAATGATGGCTGCAGGAGCTGGGGTGTAGGTAACATGTCCATTTTTTTTACATTTAAGTATAAATCTAAATTATAATTATTATCAGTAAAATCAATATTTGATTTTAAAATGTTTACATTTCTGAGGACAGAAATAGGTCATGTTTATGAAATTTGCAATGAGATATCTGTAAGGGGGGGCGACAGGTTTCACATATGACATCAACTTTTTTTCCAACACAGCAGCTTATTTTGGGCAGTGAGTATTTTTTTCAGTGTTAAGGTTAAGATGTTTAACAGAATTTAAGAAAAGGACACTCGCCTCTCATGAAGTGTATGGTAAATCTCAGTCTCCCAACAAAGTGAAAAGTGATCCTGCTCTGTCTGGAACTGATCTGTAAATGATTCAATGCAATGTAACTTTTCAAATGCACTAATTTTATTTCCCTATCCTTTTTCCTGTGCAGACCAGCCCATGACATCAGCCTGGAGGAGTTTGATGATGAAGACCTGTCTGAGATCACTGACGACTGTGGGATTGGCCTCAACTATGATTCTGACCCCTATGAGAAGGTCAGTGCTTTTTATTATTAAATAGTATACTTCCATTATTTTGTCTCACTAGTCTTTTTCCCTGTTACCGCTTTAATCTTGAATATTTGAATAATTAGTGATGAATGACCAGCTTGTTCTGAGTAAAAGCTGTCAGTTAGAGATGGGTTTTGTTGCAGACATCAGAAGTTAGCAGAGTTTCATTCTCTTTGCATATGAGTGTCTTATATAATGAGCGGCTGGCCCCTAATGTCCCTCTCCCACTTGTCTGGACCTCTTAATGCAGCTATTGACTTTTCTCTCTCTCCTATGCTCTTGCTCCTTCTCTCCTCCCGCTTCTCCCCCCTCCCGCCCTCCCTCTCTTTCTCTCTATCTCTCTCTCTTTTCCCTACCTTTCTCTCCTCCTTTTTCCTCTCTTCTTGTCTCCTCGTCCTCTCTCCCTCTCTCTGTTCTGTTCTTTTCTCTTCTGTCACCACCTCTCTCCTCTCACCTCTTCCCCGCTCTACTTCTCTATTTCTCTCCTCTCTCCACTCCTCTCCTCTCTCCTACGCTCACCTCCTCTCCTCCTCTCGTGTCCTCTCTCTTCCTCTCTCCTCCTTTCCCTTCTTCTCTCTATTCCTCTTCTCTTTCCTGTTTTCTCCTCCACTCTCCTTCCTCCTTCTCCCTTCTTTATAATCTTCTCTCTCTCTCACCATCTCCTATTGTCTCTCCTCTCCTCCTCTCTCCTCATCTCCTCCCTCTTCCTTCTGTTCTCTCTCCCTCTCTCCTCCTCCTCTCTCTTCCTTTCCCTCTTTTCTCTCTCTCTTGTCCACGTGCCTGTGTGGCCAGTGCCGTATGGTGCTCTTCTGCAGCACAGGGGGTTGACCCAGTGCAGTTTGCTGCTATGCAGAGTCCCCCTCCTCCCTCCCTTTTTTCACCCTTTCCTCTCTCTCATCTCTTTTTTTGTCACTCTCTTTTCTCCTCACATTCTTCTACCTCCCTCTCTTCCTTTCACTTTTTATTTTCTCTTTCATCTTTACTCTCTTTCCCTGTCACTCTCCTCCTTTTTCTCTCCTCTCTCTTGCTCTGCTGTGGTGCTCCCCCTTTATGCCCTCTCTCCCCTGTCCCTCTCTGTCTGCATGTGTGTTCTGTCTTTCCCTCTGGTACTATGGGGTTGCTTAGATACAGAGCTCAGATTCCCAGTGCTCCACACCCTCTCCTCCACTTCTCCACACAGAGGTATAGACCGTGTACAACGCCTCCACAGCCCTTGGGCTAATCTGGCCTCTTTAGTACCGTATATGATAACAGAGCATTAGCCATCATTATTGTATTATTGTGAAATGACACAAGTTAAAGCCTGGTTATATTTTTTTGTGTAATATTGATACTGCAATCTGCAATCTGGCTTCTGAGCTAAAAGGAAACAAGGTTAAAGATCCACTATGGAACTTTTCTGGTGAAGGTTCTGTCACCTGATTGTCTCATGTAAATGCTGTTGCTTTACCTAAATAGTTCTATAATATAGTAAGAACTTGCATTTACTGCCCATTTATGTCTTGCATTTATTTAATTACAGATGTTTTTATTGGTTTTGGTGGGGTCACTTGCTTGTCTCCATGGAGATTTAGTTTTATACTATTATTTGAACTTTTCCAAGTAAAACAATAACATTGCTATAAAGAAAATGCTTCAAACCCTTCACCTAAAAACATATGGTTATATTTATGAAGGGCTATTACACCTGGTCACTGGTCAGTTTGTGATTTTTTATTTATTTTTTGCCAAATATAGTGATTAGATTTGCAATATATACAAAAAATTAAACCTGATGGTCTTATACTAGTTCTGGTAAAGCGTGAAACAGCTCTACCACTAGGTTAAGGGGAGAACAAAATGGTTGCTGGTTTAATTTCTGCCCTACCACATAATGTCATTCTCTCCCTAGGGTCTTCATACTTTTCATCCTTGAACTATTTGCTGAGCTTAAGCTATCTGCATCTGCACTGTCCTTTTCAAGTCTTATCTAATCCTTCACCACAATGTATCAGAGGAAGTCAGCTAAGTCAGGATGCGGCATAAAAGGCTTAACTAGATGCTCATAACGCCATTTTGTGAACTTTCTTTAGATGTGTTGAATAGGAACTAGTTATTCACAATATTCAGAAAGAGAGTGAGGGAGCAAAGCAGGGCAAATGCAAATCTATGCTAATAAAGTCTAAGTAATCCATATTTAATGAGTCACAAACACACACAATGACCTGGATTGGCAACTGTATAATTGACTGCAGCAAATTCTCAAATTAAACAGTAAACAGAAATGTGCTGAGGCCAATAAGATTAAAGGACACATTTAGATTCTGAGAGAACTCCATGCCAAAAGTCAGGATTTCTTCAGTTTATTATTTTCTTAATGCTTTTATTGTAACTTTGTACATTTCATTGTTCTCATAATATAGCTCTTTGTGACAAAACCAGACCTCTGCACTGCTTGCATCTATAAAAAAAAGTATTTTGTCTGAAAAAAGGAGTTTTACAGATGTGCACTCAAAAATGTATGAATAGATCTAAATGCACATCTCCACCATTTAAGTTTGAAAATCAGGTAAAGAAGCATTAAATGTTACAGAGTTGAGCGGTATTAATACTTTGGTTTAAGTATACCTTATAATAAACAATACCAGTATAGGGACTGAATATGGCATTTATTTCCTTAAAACACAATTAACATAGTACAAAATATATCCAGCTGTGTTGATAAATAGCTTGGACCATTATATATTTTAAGCAAACTAATTTGTATGTCACAGGTTGATTTGGGATTTTCAACAAAAATTTATTTTACTTACATTTTACGTCGTGGGGATGAGATAAGATCAAACAAAAATTGCCACAAGACTGTACACACATGAGAAATGTGATTTTATGATTATGTGTTTACATTTGATTGGGCAAAAAAGGGCTGAGGATTAAATGTTGGTGAATTACATTTCTTACAGTTGCAAAATGCAGTACTATAATGGCAACTAAAATATTAAATGAGATAAATCAAATCATGCCAAAATTGGAAACTGAATTGCACAATTTATATTTTAGGATTCATGTTAAAAATCTCATCTTGTCTCATGGACCCAATCTTGTATCTTGTCTTGACTTGTGGAAATTGTGTCTTGTCCTTATTAAATTGCAATGAAAGAATAGTTCACTAATATCAAATATTACTTTTCTAAATGAAAAATACAATTTCTTCATTACCTAATCATAAGTAATAACTAACGCTGTACTTTGAACTAGCCTTTGACCTTGTATTGAGGTCATATGTCTATTTTCCCTTTATTTTACTTCTGACTGCTCACTGGGCAAACAGCAGCTTCAGCAGACAGCTCCAGACCAGCGGATGCTCCATCATCATCTATACTGACACCCAGATGCCCTTTAGAACAATCTGAAACATAGGCACATTTACACAGAGGTGGTGGTGCTTGCTGACAAAGACGACAAAGTCATTGGGCCATTGGGACTGGTTAAATTAGGGCCTTTGATGTTCACAGTGCAGCCAATCAGAACAGGGATTATCCACAACCTCCATCTGATTCATTTACTATGAGGCTGTTTTTCTAATGTGCATTAACATTAAAATCAGTGTACATATTGTTAATATAATGCTATCCAGAAAAAAATATGCTCATATATTTCAGCTGTTATTTAGGCCTGTACAACGCTCAGTAGTTACATGCAGGATAAATAACAGTTACATAACACAGTTGGGTCAGTTTTGGTATATTGTTGTGCATCCCTTATTTGGATACTAATGAGTAACCTTGAGGCCTGACAAAGATTTAAATATTTTTTTGACAATAGGCTGTAATTTTCAGCCCCAAATAATTGTATTAGTGTATGCTTCCATGTGGTCTAGTTCAGATAAAACCAGAAATCATTCTAAAAGTATAACTAAAACATAAACTACATCTTGTGTGATTTTTGCCATATTGACACTGCAAATTAGGATCTAGTTTCAGTAGTTTTAGTATTGATTAGAATCTGATATTGGATACTTTGATAACCCTACACGACACTCACAGAAATCCCAGGACCTGAAATGTTATATATAGTATTTACCTACCTACTCAAAGGTTAGATGTTTCAAATTACTCATCTTTTATAACTAAGCCATTTCTATGCTAGAGTCAAATATACATGTTTTAAATCATGTTTTAATTTTCTCGTGACCTTTTTAAAAATGACACATGCATAAACAAAACAAGTGGCTTTATTCATGGGAAGCACCCCTGCTGCCCTGTCCCTTCCTCTCCTGGTCTCCTCTTCCTGTCTCTAATATGGCCTGTGCTCCCCAGTGAATCCAGCTCAACCTCATCATGTATTATTCACTATAGCTACCTAGCACTGGTCTGTGTGTTCATGTGTGTGTCTGTGTGTGTGTGTGTGTGTGTATGTGTGGGTGTGCATGTGTGTGTGTGCATGTGTGTGTGTGAGAGCGAAAGAGAGAGAGAAAGAGAGAAAGAGAGAGTGGTTTTGGGGTGGTGAGTACAAGGACTGCACAGTGTCAGTATTATTCACAATGACAGCCTTTTATGTAAAAGATGCTGTACTGGATTTTTACTGTTTTAAAAATGTGAAAAACAGAACTAGTTTATTTCAAATTGTTTACAGTGGTCCAATGTTATTCCTCACTTACCTTACGCATTCACCTAATTATTCACAGTAATGACTTTATTGGTACTTTTCACAACTTTCTGAGATCAGAGCAGAGTGCACTGTCAATGGTCTTCATTTCATTTTTATTTTCATCATGAAAACGCACAGTAGTACCATGAACAACAATACAATATGTACATGTGTGCCATGGATTAGTGGTGACAAGAGCAGTCACATTATTATCAGTCAGCCCCATTATTACTGATTATAGCAATGATAATGTATGATTTTGGTGGTTTGTGTAAGTAAGAGAATTAATTAAAGGCAGTTATAATGACAACGAGAACAATAAGTGAATATAGTAATTATCTTGACAGGTCTTAATGTGCCCCACTGAAATGTTGAGAAAAGATGCATAGTTCAAACTATTCAAATTTCATACCTGACTTAAATTTGTGCTATATTTAGCTACTAGTATAATGATTAAAAAAAATATATTGCCAGCTTGATTTGATTTATAGTAATATGTCATGTTATATATACACACTTAGGCCTGTCAAGATAAATACTACATTGACTTATTGTTCAATATACAATAGATAGAACAATATATTTTTGAGGTATTTATATTTATCATGAGTACTTTTTCTTTGTACTAGTGGGAAACGTTTTATTACTTGTCAGTAGTATGATGATATTTAAGTTGTAGAGGTTAGAATTATGAATTTCTATCTTCATTATATATACTAACAAATACTTAAGTGTTGCATTCTGATATTTATATATTGCAGCTCATATTTTTTTAACAATATTGTACATTAAGAATACTTTATTCTTTAATTTCAATATTATTCTTTATTTATCTGTTATTGCAACTGGTCTACATACAGTAGATGCATTTTCACTATATTGTGTTGGCTCAGTTTACAATGCCCTCTGTACGACCTCTGGACACTTAAGAAGCAGATGGGTTTTGCTGTCACTTGCGCAGTTCAATAATCCTCTATTTAAGTTGGCCTGCTTTCTCCATGGCTTAAAAGCCCTTCTTAAATTCACCAGAGCAGAACTGTTGTTGCTTCGAGATGTCAGCAGCTGTGCCAGTTTAGCATGCGCACAATTAGCTCTGCTGGATTGAAATGGAGGGGTCTTACAGGGAGCCGAGCTGATTTCCTGTAAGCATGTTAGGAGGGCAGAGCAATGGAGTAATATGAGAATTATTGATCGTGGTCTAAGCATGACTAATGTATTGTACTAGTATGTCCTTGGTCCTTGTACAGTTGTATGGGTCATGGTTACTGTGATAGAAATTCAGATTGTGGAAAGATTTCTTTCAATCTGTCTTTGTGTAAATTAATGTGATTTCTACCTGAAATCCAGACCAGTCATTAACGTGTAAAGGTTCATCAGACACACTGTCTCCTCCTTCAGGAAGCCTTTTGTTGTCTTACCTGTCCTCAGCTGTATGTTGATTTCGCACCACCATGTGAAACCAAAGTCACTCTGCTTTGAAATGTATGTAACTTGTATTTCTGTATAAATACTCAGAGCTCAAATGCTCCGGGGCAGATACTGGGAAGAGACTCGGATCAAATGGAGTAGGGACATGCTGCTGTAGGAGAAGCTGTTGGGCTGTCCATATCTGCTGTAACAAGAATAAACTTTGGTCTATATTCCAAAAACTCATTGGGCTTTGCAAATGGATTCATTATTTTATCTTCAAGAGATGCATCATTTTTTCTGCAACAGTTACCTTCAGATATCTCCTGGATAAGTATATTTTAGCCAATTTTTTTTATTATTTATTTATGGAATGGTATGAGACTAATTTATATTTTTACTGTGTTGTTTCATCACTAACTGAGGTTGAGTTGAGTTTCATTAGCCCATTTTCTTATCTCTAATAATAACTGCAGTGGTGTTGTACATGCAGCAATACTACTACCAGCAACCAGCTTTAAGGTACAATAACATAAGAAGACTCACATTTTAATACAGTGTATTAAAAAGGTCTGATCTGTAATCTGACCTGGTGGCGTCACTTGCTTGGCTCAAAGGAAATATAAATTTAATGATAATGCTGGGGAAATTTCCAAGAAAGCAATATTATCTCCGTAGAGACAATCTTATGGTATTAGCAGATCCCCACCACAAATTACATAGTACACAAGTTAATGAATGATAAATATAGAGTTTGTGCCGTTGGGCTGAGTGCATTTCCACATCTGTGGTTATAGAAGTGCCATAGTCAGCAGGACATCACAGACAAATAAAAACAGGAGTGGCAGTTCAAAGCTCAGAGCAGATCTATCAGCTACTTTACCTGGTTCAATTACACATCAATATGCAGGCTGAAGAGCTGTTTTACACAGTGCTTACCACTGCAATAGCTCTTTAACAAACTTGTTTTTTCGATATTGTGACATATATGCAGTTATCCACTATTGTTGGTTGTTACTATATTTATTTATATAGACTATGGAAATTGTATGTACTTCTTATTAAAAAGATTTAACAGAGATTAAATGACTTGGCAGTCTAATCACTGCAGACTTTTCTGCTGTTTACATGAGTTAAACACTGAAGTAAAACTTGCACCACATTCTTTTTACATATTGAATGGGTGAAATGTCTTGCCAAATGACACCACTGCACTATACAATTTGTGAACCACTGGACTTCAGTTGACTTGTGTGTGAGTGTTTATGATTCTAATTGGGGCTTCATTCAATATTTTGAAAAATAAATAAATAAAAATCTGTATAATGTAAATATTTTATTCCTACCTAATTGTAGTATGATGGTGCACATTACTGAAGACAGTCTTTGGTGTGTGGGCATGTTCTGCCCTGTGTGTATCTGAAGAACATGATGTAGTGTACTATCTATCTGTATTTTCTCTCTCTCTCTCTCTCTCTCTCTCTCTCTCTCTCCCCCCCCCCCCCCCCTCTCTCTCTCTCCCTCTCTCTCTCTCTCTCTCTCTCTCCCTCTCTCTCTCTCTCTCTCTCTCCCTCTCTCTCTCTCTTTCCCACAGGGGATATTAGCCTCTGTACAATAGATAAAAGCTTTGCGTTTAGAACATCAGTCTTCTGCTGTCAAAACACAGCAGGATTTAACGACCTAGAATGTGTTGAAGTTAAAAGAAAAAAAAAAAAACATTCAATCCATGAAAATCAAACTTGAACATTAACACTTTTCATGTCCTTGTTTTTATGGATATGTCATTGCTATGCCTGAAATGTTCCACAGTGTGACATTAAACAGCTGTACTTAACATTTATTCAATTACAGGTGCTCTTATAACCAAAAAATGTTATAGCCCAAAAAATGTTGGTTTAGTTGTTTACTAAATATATACTGGAATAATATCCCATCATGTGTATAATTTCATTTTGAATACGTGTTTTATCTTAAAATAATAGCCAATGCTGGTGGTAGACAGAGCACTATGTAGCATTATGGTTGGGGATCCACCACCTGCTTTTCTTCTGTGGATGTTATTTTGCCTGGAATATTTCACAGTATGGCATTAAACTTATCTATTGACATTAAAAATACCTAATAAAAATCATCTCCTCTCCACAGATCTGACCTGTAACTTTTCCTAGTGGTAGTATCACCTGCTTTCATGGGAATAGAGTCAAAACAATAACATATTCATGGAGACAAGCAGTTACACAATACGCATATATAATAAGCCTTACTTTTTGGTGGAATTCTAACCTCCTTCATTATTATAATATTTTTGCTGCTTTTATCCTGCCTCATACAAAATATAATTACATATTAATAATAATAATACATATTTTTTTCTCCAGGACTCCCTCATCCTAGAGAAAAGCGACCTGCACCACCCAGTCTGCTCCTTCCAGGATGACTTTCAGGAGTTTGAGATGATCGACGATGAAGACGAGGAGGAGGAGGAAGAGGATGACGAAGAGGTGGACCCAGACGCACCCCCCTCGCCCTCTGCCTCACCCCCTCCCTCACCCACCTTTGGCACTCTGAAGAGCAGGCCCACCACCCTCAACCTCACCACTGCTGTGTCACAGGTAAGCACTTGTAAGCAGAAAAATGAACAACAATAGAAACACAATGTAGGTTCAATCTTTAATACTGTTCAATGCTATTGTGTTATTGGGCATGATACTTCAACCAGACTGCATATGAATTATAATTTATTAGTTGAATTGATGAGAAAATATTGACATTTACAAATAAGATTGCTAGAGACAAGAAGCTGCTCCTATCCATAACAAAACTATATCCAAAGCTAAACTTGGATTGAATCCATATTGTAGATTAGCATAATGTTATGAAAATCTGCCTGCACCTTTTTTCATGAGCATAATATTATTGTTTATATACATTTTAACATGGTATCTGGTAATAGCTGACCAACAACTCAAAATATGATGCCTCACTAACTCTATTATGATAAATCTAAAGTTACATTTAAAAGTAGCTTTTAAAACCACCTATTTATGCCTTGACTTAGTAAGTTTTGATAGACATTAGCTCTTGATTTATGAAGTCTCATACGGAATCATGGCCAGATCTAAAGTATTTTGTTGAGTCAAACCACAGTTCACAGACAAAAATTTGAAAATGCCTTTCTATGTGACTTATTGTATTATCACTTTCACAGGACTCACTGAACAACAACAGCAGCCTCTCTCCGAAGAAAGGAAGCTGGCAGGACTCTCTACGGAACCCAACATCACAGGGTGAGTATCAGGTTTGAATATCAATGTCACCTCATTTTACCTAAGAACTTCAGTGGAGAGGCCATCTTGCCTTACCATAGAATAATAGGGCTAGAAACATTTTGGCAAAAATTATAATTAGTGTGGATTATATTGTAATTTAGTGAGTCTAAAAAAGGAGAGGATGCTATGAAGACCATGATCCATTGCTCTTTTAGTTCATGCAACATTTAAAGAACACATATTACACAATTTTCTAATCCATGATTGTAATGTTGTTTTCTCATCAAAAACATACCTGGAGTTATATTTTGTTTCATTCACACATATTTAACACACAAACCCTGCATAGTTAGTCAAAGTTATTTTCAGAAAACATAAAATAAAAAATAATACATAATAAATAAATAATGCGCCTTTATAACAACTATTATTATTATTATTATATTTGAAAATAATAAATTCATCCATCCATCCATCCATCCATTTTCTTCCGCTTATCCAAGGTCGGGTCGCGGGGGCAACAGTCTGAGGAGGGCCTCCCAGACTTCCCTCTCCACACACACTTCCTCCAGCTCTTCCAGGGGGATCCCGAGACGTTCCCAGGCCAGCCGAGAGACATAGTCCCTCCAGCGTGTCCTGGGTCTTCCCCGTGGCCTCCTCCCAGTGGGACATGCCCAGAACACCTCCCGAGGGAGGCGTCCAGGAGGCATCCGAAACAGATGCCCGAGCCACCTCAACTGGCTCCTCTCAACGTGGAGGAGCAGCGGCTCTACTCCGAGCTCCTCCCGTGTGACTGAGCTCCTCACCCTATCTCTAAGGGAGCGCCCAGCCACCCTGCAGAGGAAACTCATTTTGAGCGCTTGTATCCGCGATCTTGTCCTTTCGGTCATTACCCAGAGCTCATGACCATAGGTGAGGAGTAGGAACGTAGATTGACCGGTAAATCGAGAGCTTCGCCTTTCGGCTCAGCTCCCTCTTCACCACAACAGTCCGATACAGCGACCGCATCACTGCCGACGCTGCACCGATCCGCCTGTCAATCTCACGCTCCATCCTCCCCTCACTCGTGAACAAGACCCCAAGATACTTGAACTCCTCCACTTGAGGCAAGGACTCCCCACCCACCCGGAGAGGGCAAGCCACCTTTTTCCGGTCGAGGACCATGGCCTCGGATTTGGAGGAGCTGATCTTCATCCCAGCCGCTTCACACTCGGCTGCAAACCACCCCAGTGCACATTGCAGGTCCTGGTTTGATGGAGCCATCAGGACAACATCATCTGCGAACAGCAGAGATGAGATCCTGTGGTCCCCAAACCGCACCCCCTCCGACCCCTGACTGCGCCTAGAAATTCTGTCCATAAATACAATGAACAGAACCGGTGACAAAGGGCAGCCCTGGCGGAGTCCAACATGCACTGGGAACAGGTCTGACTTACTGCCGGCAATGCGAACACAGCTCCTGCTCCGGTCATACAGGGACCGGACAGCCCTTAGCAAAGGGCCCCGGACCCCATACTCCCAGAGCACCCCCCACAGGACACCACGAGGAACACGGTCCAATGCCTTCTCCAAGTCCACAAAGCACATGTGGACTGGTTGGGCAAACTCCCATGAACCCTCGAGCACCCGATGGAGAGTGTAGAGCTGGTCCCGTGTTTCCACGGCCAGGACGAAAACCACACTGCTCCTCCTGAATCCGAGGTTCGACTATCGGCCGGATTCTCCTCTTCAGTACCCTGGCATAGACCTTACCGGGGAGGCTGAGGAGTGTGATTCCCTTGTAATTGGAACACACCCTCCGGTCCCCCTTCTTATACAGAGGGACCACCACCCCGGTTTGCCAGTCCAGAGGTACTGTCCCCAACCGCCACGCGATGTTGCAGAGGCGTGTCAACCAAGACAGCCCCACAACATCCAGAGACTTAAGATACTCAGGACGGATCTCGTCCACCCCCGGAGCCTTGCCACCAAGGAGCTTGCCAACCACCTCAGTGACTTCGGCCAGGGTGATGGATGAGTCCACCTCTGAGTCTCCAGCCTCTGCTTCCTCCTCGGAAGACGTGACGGTGGGATTGAGGAGATCCTCAAAGTATTCCTTCCACCGCCCGACAACATCCCCAGTTGAGGTCAACAGCTCTCCCCCCGCACTGTAAACAGTGTTGATGAAGAACTGCTTCCCCCTCCTGAGGCGCCGGACAGTTTGCCAGAATTTCTTTAAGGCCATCCGATACTCCATGGCCTCCCCGAACTCCTCCCAGCTCCGAGTTTTTGCCTCTGCGACCGCACGGGCTGCAGCACGCTTGGCCCGCCGGTACCTGTCAGCTGCCTCAGGAGTCCCATGAGCTAACAAGGCCCAATAGGACTCCTTCTTCAGCCTGACAGCATCCCTTACTTCCGGTGTCCACCACCGGGTTCGGGGATTGCCGCCGCGACAGGCACCACAGACCTTACGCCCACAGCTACGAGCAGCTGCATTGACAATGGAGGCTGAGAACATAGCCCACTCGGACTCCATGTCTCCAGCCTCCCCCGGAATCTGGGAGAAGTCCTCCCGGAGGTGTGAGTTGAAGATCCCCCTGACAGAGGGCTCTGCCAGACGTTCCCAACAGACCCTCACAATACGCTTGGGCCTGCCAGGTCCCTCCGGCTTCCTCCTCTGCCAGCGGATCCAACTCACAACCAGGTGGTGATCGGTTGACAGCTCAGCCCCTCTCTTCACCCGAGTGTCCAAGACACGCGGCCGGAGGTCAGATGACACGACGACAAAGTCGATCATCGACCTCCGACCTAGGGTGTCCTGGTGCCACGTGCACTTATGGACACCCTTGTGCTCGAACATGGTGTTTGTTATGGACAAACTGTGACTAGCACAGAAGTCCAATAACAAAACACCGCTCGGGTTCAGATCGGGGGGGCCGTTCCTCCCAATCACCGCTCTCCAGGTGTCACTGGCGTTACCCACGTGGGCGTTGAAGTCCCCCAGGAGAACAACGGAGTCCCCAGTCGGTGCACTGTCCAGTACCCCTCCCAGGGACTCCAAGAAGGCCGGGTACTCAGCACTGCTGTTCGGCCCGTAGGCTGACACCACAGTGAGAGACCTGTCCCTGACCCGAAGGCGCAGGGACACGACCCTCTCGTTCACCGGGGTGAACTCCAACACGTGGCGGCTGAGCTGTGGGGCTATAAGCAAGCCCACACCAGCTCGCCGCCGCTCCCCGTGGGCAACGCCAGAGAAATGGAGGGTCCAACCCCCTTCAAGGAGTTGGGTACCAGAGCCCAAGCTGTGCGTAGAAGTGAGCCCGACTATATCTAGCCGGTATCTCTCAACCTCCCGCACAAGCTCGAGCTCCTTCCCCCCCAGCGAGGTGACGTTCCACGTCGCCACAGCCAGATGCTGTGTGTGCGGACCAGGCCATCGGGACACCCATCCCCGACCGCCGCCCAGTCCTCTATGCACCCGACCCCTATGAACCCCTCTGCGGGTGGTGAGCCCACAGGAGGGTGGACCCACGTCGTCCTTTCGGGCTGAGCCCGGCCGGGCCCCGTGGGCAAAGGCCCGGCCACCAGGCGCTCGCATTCGAGCCCCAACCCCAGGCCTGGCTCCAGGGTGGGGCCCCGGCTGCGCCATACCGGGCGACGTCACGGTCCTCGATATTACACTGTTCATATGGGTTCTATGAACTGCTCTTAGTCTGCCCCGTCACCTAGGACCTGTTTGCCATGGGAGACCCTACCAGGGGCATAAAGCCCCGGGCAACATAGCTCCTAGGATCATTCGGGTACGCAAACTCCCCCACCACGATAAGGTGGTAGTTCAAATTCAGCTTCTATATTACACAGTATTCACTCTTGTGAGCTTCAATCCAAGTTAGAATTTTGTTACCTGGATAATTTCAGTCCTGGACATGCCAATTTCCTCTAAAGTTCGGTAATAACTATTCCATTCCATTGGATCTGAAAATTGTTAAATCTATCTTACCATATAATCTTATCAAAAGCAAAATTCATGCCAAATACTAAGAATTAATCATGTCCGTCTTTATTGTTATTATTCATTGGTGTTGTGGGTAAAAAGGAATTACTGAGTGAAATATCCTAACGTAATTTTGTGTCTCCTCGTAGGCCATCTGTCTCCTACCCACTCATGTCTGGATGATGGCAGCCACATCACAGGCCAGTGCCCAGCCTCTCCGGTCACCCAGGCGCCAGGGCCCCAGAACAAAGGTACTCCCCCCAAACACGCAGGGGAGGGCGGGAATTCCCACTCCCCCAACCGGCCCCTGCTCTGTGACATGGAGGGCAACAGGCGGGAGAGGCCCGAATACGGTAACAACATGGCCGACCAGCGAGCTTAGACTGGCTGTTGTGGAGTGCTGTGTGTCTAGTCCTGTGTCGTGTAGTGTTGTAGTAGTAGTATGGCATGAAACTTAAGTTAAATATCTCATTGTTTTTTGTTTATGAATATAACTTTTGTTGGAGTATATTATTGCATTATTTGATCATTTATATACTTCTTTATCACTCGTCCTTTTGTAATTTGTCAAATTAAAGGAGACATATTATGTAAAATCGTGTTAAAATATAAAATAATGACATATCTGATAAGAATAACTAAATATAGAAGTGGGTACGTCTCACTGTTTTGTACATCTACCCGAGTATTACATTTTGTAGTAATGTTACTTTTACTCTTTGGCTATTCTACCAACCTCTGTTTAAATACCAGAAAAGAGTATTTACCGTCATCTGTACTACTAGGCAAGCTTTTCTGGTAGTTGCAAAAATACATTTACACACATTTATCGTGTGTATATTACACAATACATATTCAACCTTTCATTTTTCTCCCTTTACAGGTTCATTCGGTCACCACAAATCCCACCCCTGTACCGGTGAAATCAAATCGGACCCGTCCGTCCAGAAGAGCAGGGTACCATCTGTGGACGAGCACTCGCAATGTTCTGACACGGAGGTGGACCACGACCTGAACAGCGACCACAACCTCAAGCACTCAAGCACCAACAGACGCCCTACGGACACCTACACCATCACCAGCGAGTCCGCCATGGAACCCGAGACCGATCCGGACCCTGATGGAACCAGCCGCTGCCTGTCCTCCACTGCCCCCATAGGAACCATCGAGGGAGCAGATACCCCCCTGTCTGACGAAGAGCTGGAGAAGGACTTTGAGGCAGAGTGCAATAATACGAACAAGGAAAACTGCTCTTCGTACATAGAATTCCCTCCCATTGAACCACCCCAACCTGCGTCTTTCTCAACTTACCTGTCCTCCAAAGTGGTTGATATATCGTACGGCTCAGTTAATGCTTCTTCGGTTCCTCCACATCAAGCCCCAGCGAATGACTACACCTCCCCATCTTCAGACCCAGGGATAGCAGACATGAACCAGCAAGGATACGTAACCTCGGATCGTGATAGGGATCTAAGTGATCCAGGATCGGATTCAGATGTTGAAGAGGAGATTGAAGAAGCGTTTGCCTGTCGTCCAGTGGTGTCCAACATGATCTCCTCCATCTCGGAAACGGAACTCGACGTGACCAGCGAAGAAAGCAGTAGTGGACGCTCCTCCCATCTCACCAACTCCATCGAAGAAGCCAGCTCTCCTACGTCAGACCAAGAACTAGACCCAGATACCGAGTTGGAGCAGGATAGCGGCATCGTTGGATTAAAAGAAACCCTACTCCTCGGCCAACCAGATCCTATCAAACAGGGTTCCATGGTACCTTCTCCATCTCCCTTGCCGTCACCTACCATCGCAACCCCAGGCTCTCCTCTCCTACCCACAGATGCCTATGATGGTTTGGATGGACAGAACTTGGACGATGACCGAAGCTGTGAGCATCAAGCTGATCCAGATGAGACGTTACCCCCGGCAGAACTTTGCGAAGACACTCTTTCCAGACAGATGGTTCTCCAGATAGAACCAGACCATGGCTTGGAGAGCTTCAAACGTTCCTTCTACCTGCCAGTGGGTCCAAGGCTTATGCCCAGTTCGGATGACTATGACGGGACTAGCGAGGGAGAGTCCGATTCAGATAGTGAAGATGATTTAAGCGAGAACTCGGATTCGCCATGGCTGCTCAGTAACCTCGTAAACAGGTTGATTTCAGAAGGTTCTTACCCAATCAGCTGCCCAGAGGAATGTTTGAAGAGAAAACCATCAATGTCTGATACTATCTCACCATCTTCAGATATTGGCGATGGAGACCTTGCGGATGAAGAGGTCGATGGAACTCAAGACGTCAAGCAAATTAAAAACGTACCAAATCTGTACTTGACTAATCTTATGGAACAGCAAGCAAGGGCAGGAGAGAAGAATGTGACTGACAGGTTATGTAAAAACTCAAGACAGGAGGAGGTTGAGGAGCCCAATAATGACTTGATGATGCTTCAACAGAGGAGGGAGCTTGACTCTCCCAGCCTTACAGAGAGTGTGATCAGTGACAAGGATGAAGGCAGAGAGACAGACCCCCATGTCCCCACACGATCCTCGGCCTCCCTTGAACGCATCACAGAGGTCAAAAACAGCCTGACCCTAGATCTGCCCACCTCCCAGACCAACCGCTGTTTCAGCCTCACCTACTCCACAGACAATGATGAAGAGGAGGATGAAGATGGGAAGTCGTACCCTTACCTGACCAACGCAAAGAATCAGACGTCATACAGGCAACGGTGGGTAGGAGTTAGTTACAGTGTTTGTTTTCTTTAGTAAATCCTACTGGCCATAACTAAAAACTTATTTTAAATAGTATAATATAATATGATCATCACAATTGCATTAGACAAGCCAGATGCACTGCTTTGAGCATTGCTACTTTTCAACACCTGTCTATAGAAAAAAATATATAAAATACATGCATAAAAACAGGTAAGACACATAGTTACATAGCATTTTTACATTTTCGGTGAGAGCATTTTTGGTTAGAAACATACAATCATTTTTATTTACTTGACATTTTAGCTCAGCACATGTAAATAAGGTGGGCAGTTGGGGAATTGTTTCTATTGCAAAGAATGGTTCTTTTGTTATTATTTCTTCTGTATTACTTAAGATTGTTTTAGTAAATCATACAATTTCTTCATACAGTATATCTATATAAAAGTTCTGGTCAGTAGTTTTACTTGCCATGTTTCAAGAATACTAAATTTTTTCTTAATTTAAACAAATTCCAGTTCCTACTCTTACTTCACTGGTACTGGAGTTTGCATAATTACTAATAGATTTCAGCCAGAATCAGCCAGAAAATTGCCTTAACAGTTGAATGATCTTGGACATATTTTTGTAAATAAATCATTCTAAAACTACTAAAATCAAATTAGCAAATAAATACATAAAGATAAATTAAAATCTGAAATCAAGTTTCCAATCTAAATATTCTGTTTATCCAGTATGGGAAAAGCTTTTTATAACATACATTTAACTTGTAGCTCTTTGGAGTACTTTTACTTATTTTAATTATTCTACACCTTTGCTAACAGGGGCCTGGAATTAGACAGCTCACCGCCCATTGACCCCAGTGTTCCAGAGCCTGTCCCATCTGAACACGACCTTCCACTGTGTGATAGAGGACAGCAGCAGAGCGAGGACGACGGTCTGGCCTACGACTCCATGAAGTACACGTTAGTGGTGGACGAGAATACAACGCTGGAACTAGTCAGTCTTAAAAGGTTAATTACAGTACTTAAAATACTTACAGAGGTTGTATTCAAACTTGCACTGCTTATGTCTTGGTTTGATCCCGGTCCAAATGTCCAAATGTAGACTTGGGTTGCACACTTGTTGCTATTTGGTCCTAAATTGAGGCCATTTTAATTTGGATGAGGCCTTGGGTTGGTCCTGTCCTAGTCCTGATCTGTCTAGATTTAGGCTTTGTCTTGGTTTAGTCATTTTGATGTGACGAATGTGCAGATGTAAATACACCCTTGGCTTGGTCCTTTTCTAGACTTGGTTTAGTCCTGGTTTACTTCCATGTTGAGTTCAATGCAGTATAGTCCCCAATTTTACAGAGGAGTTGGAGCTTTACATATTTAGTTAGTGAAAGATGATGGTTGAGGGGCAACAGTATCAGACACTGTGATTGGCTGATATAAACATTACAAAATAATGGGAAGGAAATACAGGCTTTTATTTATTTTTATTTTTTTATTTATTAATCAATGCTGGCAATACAAAATATATCAACAATACAAATGTATAACTAACTGAGCATGTGCAGGAAATACAGGCTTATTGGCTGAATTTACACACTAGCTTTATAACTAAATTGAAATTGACAGGTCAGAACTCTACTATGGAATTTACTGTTTAGCTGTCAGATTGCGGATTTGCTGACCGGGTTTATGATTAATATCTCTGTAATTACTGGGTCTACCCACATGAAATAAAAACTGACACAAGTCAAATGTCTTCTCTCTTAGAATAAATAAACACAAGTGAAATATTTTTTTCACAGTAGCTTCAGAAAATCAGTCATTAATTGAAAGGCTATAAGATTAACATGGCAAGTTTGTGGAGCCCATCCCATAAGATTCAACATTTGTCAATCATAAGTTTGGATATGTTTCACAAAAATGTGCATCACCCTGCCCTCTATCTAAAAATATACCATAATCTAATTCTAGAATGTGAACACAGACGATTTTTTTGGAAACTCAAACCTGTATTTGTTTTCCAGATGCACTTCAGTTCTCAGTGATGACAGTGAGCTTTCTACAATTTGTGATGAAGAGCCACTGAGGCCCAGAGATGTGGTCTACGGCAGGGAGGAAGAGGAGGAAGGTCGCCCTGAACTGAGCTCCTCTGAAGACTCCTCTCCAGAAGCAGACTTGCCGTTCTCCAAGAAGTTCCTCAACGTCTTCGTCAACAGCACCACCCGCTCCTCCAGTAAGACTGTTCTCTCGCTTGTAGTTGAGACATGTGGTTTAAGGACCTGTGCCCATTTTATCCCACATATTTCAGCAAAGTTTGTCTTGTTCCAGTAGATATATTTTATTTTAGCAGAATCAAGAAGTGTACGGTTAGCATGCTAGTTGTTGAACATTATGAAAAATGTTTATAAACTCATTGTGGTGAATAATTAGGATGCTCGGAATTCATAAACGAAGTGCGGAATAACTTTGGACCACTGCAAACTGTTTGAAATCAACTAGTTCTGTTTTTAACATTTTAAGAGAGTAAAGGCCAGGTACAGCACCTGTAACAATATTTTTTGGATAATTGATGTGTTTTGATACTGACATTGAAAATGTAATTACAACACATATTGACATCTGATCATACTATCTTATATTCATAGCAAATTAGTGTAGCATAGCATTACTTCGAGCAATTTAAAGGTTCTTGGATTCTGTGTTTTTAATTTCCGTTATACCCAAGCTTCTAAAAATAGCTGTGAACTGTTATCGCTAACAAGGTGTGATCTGCATATTAAAAAGGAGGTCTATGTCTCTTTATTTCTTCTCTGTTATTTTTATTTTTTATCACAAAGGTACAGAATCTTTTGGCTTATTCTCCTGCACTATCAATGGAGAGGAGAGGGACCAGACTCACAGAGCAGTGTACAGGTAAAGCACTGTTCACTACAAAAGAACATGAGAGGCATGCACAGTTATACTACATAGTAATACTATGACAAATACTGCTGAAGAAGGTGGCCAATAACATACTAACTAACTAATATTAAAATACACTGCTATATAATTTATTTAGCATTTTTTCTGTCAAATAAAATGTTTGGTCAAAATAGGGTTCCTGGGTTGCAAACTTTATTTTCAGTGGTAAATAATGATTGTGTTCTTTTTTAAAGCTACAATAGGCTGTATTCACGTTTTCATCACAAACCTTGAAGACGTTTGGAAAGATGCGATTACAACTTCCTGGGCTCAGTTTTCTTCATCTCCATGTCATTGTAGCGTTCCGTTATGTTCTTTTCATAACGTCCCCACTGACACACAACTCTTACTGGGTACATGCAACGGGTACAAATTCAAGATGATTCCAAACACACATTCCTATGCAGTCTTCATTTTACCACTGATCACATTTACTTCAATAGGTTTTATCACAATCAGTTTTAATAGATCCATGTTAGGCGAGTCCAGTGTCAGTAACTACACCAGAAGTCGTAATCGCATCTTTCCAAACGTCTTACTGGCTTGTGATGTTGTGAAACCTGTGCAGAGTTTCTTCCATCAGTGCAAAACATGCAGAATAGGTAGTCCTCCAACTAAAGTAGTCCTGAGTATTGTACTGACAGGCTCTAGTAGTTGAAGGATGGGTCAAATGCAGATGAAACTGTTGATCCATTTAATTTTATTTTACAACCCTGACAAAATTCTCATATTATATTATTTGGATACAGTCTAATATTGTATGTTATTCACTTCACCAGGGACTTAATCACATTAGAAAGAGCTGACGTGTGGGGTGCAGCAGGCTTGAAGGGCTGCTGGGACCATGCTCATTAGCACATTAGCCACCAGCTGTATGTGGGAGTGCAGATGACGTCACAACATTCTGCTATCCTCGTATTTAATGGGGATGGAGGGCATGCACAATAACCCTTATTATATGTGTTTGGATAAATATAGCAGGGTGATGAACCTTGTAATTATACATTTCTGTTTTTAATGGAAATGCCATAAAGGTACAGAATATTTCTTCATTCTCCAGTGTTCCTGCATTAATGTTTTATGTGAAATATAAAAGTTTTTTGTTTTGTTTTGTTTTGTTTACAATAGAATGTTATTTTCAACATTAAATAATTGTACTTTCTTTTATATTACTAGGCAGTTTTATACCTGTGTAATCCTTCTGTTGTCCAGGTATATGTGGTTTTATACTAGCTCTGATACAGCTCAAGCTCTTTCTAAAGCTATTCAGGAAAGGTAAATTTCTGTCCTATTGATGTGACGTTTTAGTAACAATACTTGCTCAAATGAGTATCTAGTTTTGATACTAGTTTTTAGTACTGATTAGTATATAGTTTTCAATACTTTTGACAGCCCTATGATATATATTGTTCTTGTAGACAGTTTAAACAATACACAAGTCTTAGCTCCTCATCATTAGACTTTCTTTGTCTCCACTAAAAACCCACCCACCATCTTGCAGCGTTTCTCATCTCCTCTTCTCTCAGCACCAAGCCCATGGGAGTCACCCGACACCAGACACATGCTTTCTTCTCACAGACAAATAATAGGCTTATGCATGCTGAACAATCTGTGTGCTCTGGCGCCCTCTGCAGGTTCATCCCCAGACATGCAGATGAGCTGGAGCTAGATGTGGATGACCCATTATTTGTGGAGGAAGAGGAAGATGACTACTGGTATAGAGGCTACAATATGCGCACAGGGGAGAGGGGTATCTTCCCAGCCTTCTATGCCACAGAGGTCATGGGGGCATCCAAAGAGCTGCTTGGTGCGTGGGATTTTAAGGTCTGATACATGAGTGGTGTGATAAGATAACACAATGTATGTATGTGTGTAGGGATGAAGAGGAACCCAGCGTGGATGGAGACGTTCTGTGTTCAGTTCTTGGGGTCAGTCGAAGTACCTTATCATCAAGGAAATGGGATTTTGTGTGCAGCAATGCAAAAGGTAGGAATGTTAAACAGTTTTTTTTAGTTATTATTATAACATTGTGAGAAAGAATGTGGTTGTACAATTGTCACATGACAAAATGAGATCACATATATTATTTTACAAATACTTAACAAACTAACAAATAATTTATGTTGTGTATGACATATATATCACAATTAGCACATAATGTGACTGTATATATTTTATTTTGTATTATAAATGGAATCATATTTTGGACAATGGAATCTGGAGAGATTGTTTCTTTTTTAACATTTATATGATCATTGTAAAACCTAGCATCCTTATCTTTTAGATTGCAATGTCGAGGAAAAGAACAGTACACGTGCGCCCGCCCTCTCTGTGTGAGCTGGAGATCAGTCTACAGGGAGTCAAGCTCATCATGAGCCTGGAGGATGAATATGACACGTTCAATGAGGTACAGAGAAATATATCAAATTAACTTCTAGTATCTGATGTAACTAATGTTCCAAATGTAAAACTTTCATTGAGTTTACCTCACTTGAACTGTCCTTGCTGCTTCTTTGCTTTGTCCCCAGTTTGACAGATGTAGTCACTTCTTCCAAATGAAGAACATTTCATTTTGCGGGTGCCATCCCAGGAATAACTGGTAAGACTGAGCACTGGAGCGGTAGTGCTTATAGATCTGTACCATGTGGCTGTAGTGTCATTGTATGTGATTGTATGTGCCTCTCCACAGCTACTTTGGCTTCATCACTAAGCACCCCATGCTCAACCGTTTCGCCTGCCACGTCTTTGTGTCCCAGGAGTCCATGCGACCTGTAGCAGAGTGTGTTGGGTGAGTGCTAAGAAACTTGCAAGCCTGTCTTTAATCTCAGTTCAGATTAAATTAATGGCCAAGACCTAAGTGCATGCAAGAAAATTTAAGTAAGAATAAAGATGTTTACAAGGAATGAATATTTGATTGAATTAATCTAAAGCTAGACACTTATATCAAAATCATGCCCAAACACAGTACGGAAGAAGTACGGTATATGCATGTAATGGCTTAATAAAACTGGCATATTGAGAGTGTATTTATTGTGTCCCTGTACCTTTGCAGACGGGCCTTCCAGGAATACTACCAGGAGCACCTGGAGTACGCCTGCCCAACAGAGGACATCTACCTGGAGTAGAGTATTGCCGTGACAACCACCATGCCTCTGCAGATTGTCAATCATGAAGTTTGCCACCAGAGGGCGCCGTCAGTGAGGGCTTATGTTGAATCTGCCCACAGAGACTGGGATGTTCATCTATACAATATGCTAGGCATTTGACTGACAAGTCCCACCCCTCTCTTTGTTTACGCCCATCGCCTGGATGGACGGAATGCCTGTTTCTGTTCTCTTTTCTATTATACAAAACTAAGATGCTGAGCAGCTCTTTAAAGGGTTTTATTTTCAAATATTTACAATATACCTACTGCTGTTTCACTTTTCAATGCATGGCTAGTAGGGTTACCGCACATGTGCACACACTAACACCTGAACACATATCCAAGAGAATGGCAAACAGCTTGAATGTGAGTAAAGAACCTGGAGGCTGGTCTGGAATGATCTGTACATATGTATTTGTTCATTATTGACAAACTGCTGTTTTGATTCGGACTGATAGTGGCATCGGAACAACATAGAGAGAAGTGAACTGTCCTTGGTCTAAGCTTACCCTGTGTCGCGTACAATACGTAGTGTGTGTGTTGTAAATACATGTATAGAGAGTATGCATAGAGGCTCATCAGACAGGGGAGGGGCAGGTGGGAGGGGATACGTACCACCCTGCAGGAGCAGAGAAGAGAGGGTTAACGGCAAACAGTGTAACAGACATTTTTTAGAGATTGTACCGAGCAGTCATCGTCAGTCTGTCTGTATATTAGAAACATTGTAATTTTGTCCACTTTGAAGATGCACTGCTTGCTGAATTTCACACTGGAGAGCCAATACAACAAAATATCCAACTTAACTTTACAACCAGTTAATAATACTCTTAGCTTAGACACCAACATACTTTGACTGTTCTGCTCTGGGTTTAGTAATACTACTCTAGCCTCCATATTTGTAACATGTTGATTTCAATAAAGGAAAAAAGAAACAGGACAGAAAACAAATTTTTAATATACAATTCATAAATACCAACCCAATCCACAATCTTCGCAAAACCGAAGACATTTTCGGACAGTGATTTAGCAGAAGGTTATCCAAATGTTGCTGTCGATTAGATCATGTATATTATTAGAATCTAGACTCAAGATTGTGTGCTGTCTTTTTATGTTGTACTAAAACCAATATGTACATGGATTTAAAAAGGCATTTCAATGAGGACATGCTAAAGAATGATAAAACAACACCAATGTCTGTGATTTGCAATAATGTAAGTTCACGAATGTCTTTTTTTGTTTGGTTGTTTTTTTTTGTTTTGTTTTTTTTATAAAGGTGTTGTCATTGAAACTCACATTGGCTACAGCAGCACATTTGGGACATATTTGTTTTTATGTCATGTGATTTTCTACATTCACCAACCTGCACAGTGTGACTGAGGCAGCTGCTATCGAGAAACTATTACCCTATCTTTGGAAAGAACAAATTTTGTGCATTGTTTAATGTCCCCCTCCGATAACATCAACTTCAAATTATAAATCAGTTACATCCTGACAGTTACCTTTAACTCTTACTTGAGTAGTAGTTTTCCCAGATACTTTTGTACTCTGTGTAATTTCTTGGATCACTACTTTGTACTTCTACTTGAGTAATATTATTTTGAAGTGACATTACTCTTTCTTGAATATAATTTTTAGCTATGCGACCTACCTGTGTCCATGGATAGCTACTTTTTCTTGAAAGTAGAAAAAAGTGTATGGAAACTAATCAAAACTCAAAATGACTCAAATACAGAAACATATTTGAATTGAAGCCATGTATTTTTGAGATATTCAGTTTTGCAGTGCATTCACCAGTTCATACAATTATCTGCCATGTTTTTGCCTCTGAATTTACTTCACACCAAGCTACAGCACAGAGGAGCAGACTTTGAAGACAGGTCCCATAGTCTCCACACCACATACATTACTGGTAACAAAACTTCTTACAGAATCTTCCTCCACTGTACCCAGGAGCTAAAGAGTATGTGACAGACAGCATACATATCCTATCTTGTATCTTTGAAAAAAAAAATGACTCGAGGACTTGTAAGTTTAAAACAAAAAGTATAAAAAAAGCGTTACATCACTCTGCCTTGTCATGGGTTTGGTCTTCTGAATAAATTATATGCTTGATGTCTGAAATCTATCTTACTGTGTGTGGTGTTAATTCATTAATATATGATTGTAATGCTATTTCATAATTTGAACCAGCTGGAATGTTCTACAATATGCCATAATAGTATTGATACTTTGCAGCTGATATCCAATCATTTGTGTTGTTTCCTTGAGTTTTTAGACAATCTAAAGTTTTTGGTTGTTATTGTTAATATTGTTATTGTGTGCATTGTGTCACCATGATAATGGATAAACATTCAACCATAGAAATGCACCTCTCACATGATATCAATAGACTATTTCAGCAGTGGTCATCCGAACATTGTTTTAGTGACCAAGACATTTATGCTACCATCCTGAAGCCATTTTAAATTTGATGGAACAGGCTTGAAGCACTGGGCTTTATTCTAACCTGAGTTGATTAAGTCCAGACCCAAAGGGAAGAGTTTTAGTGTGAAACTGACCTGCCATCATTTAGCTACTTCCTAACAGCATTATGGGTCATTATGCCCCCATTAAGTTCTGGCTGTCTCATTCCTCCCTTTGGGCCTCCCTTTGGGGCTGGACTTAGCCTGATCACAAAAACTATGTCCAGATGACCACCGTTGAAATCATCTCTACCTTGACCCACTCCAGGACAAATGAGGGACAGCACTAACTTCAGTATTTTGCATAAAATACCACTGTTTCTGTTGTTCAAAAATACCTTGAAAAACATGGATACAAGGACTCCAACCATTACCGTAATAATTTTCATTTTCATCAGGAATACACTTAATTTGTATTTATTTGTTTCTGAATATTCCCTCTTCAGAAGCCTTCAGTATCCATATTTCAATTTATTTGTTTGATATTGGTTGATTTAAATAGTCTCAGTGTACAATAGAAAAAAATCATTTGACTAGTTGGCTACTTGAAAAATCATTGCAGTTCTAATTCTTACTGTGAGCGGGGTTGTCTCTCCACAGATCTGACCTGTAACTTAAGCCCTCCATAAGCAAAGTCACATAGTCTTATATTATTCTTACATAACGGCTTTTAGACTCCATGGACTTGGTTTTTCATGGGTGTTGTTTATTTTGTCTTACATTTCAAAGAAAAATTAGGTGTGATGTTATAATTCAAACAATACCTGTACATATGAAGAACATATGGCAACAAAGATTAAAAACACATACAAATTGTCTTATTAGATTTCACAGAGGCAGTGTGTAGGCCATATAAGACCTTATATTATGCATTCCTTCAGGTTTTTAACAACTTTAGCAACCTTCCATCTTTGCTATAGCATTTCACATTTTCTTCATTAAAATAATACTGTGCAATACTACAATTAAACGGCATAATTTAACATACACATAAAACACCAGCCGATTCACTGATAAAAGAAACAACAAATATGAATAATAATATGTACAATAGCTGAATGTTTTAGAATGTGATAGTGTTGTATAGTTGAGGTTAATTTAGTGATGAAATAAAACTGGTGGTATATGGACATACAAATAAGACATCATCAAGTGGTCAGGAGTTCACAATATACAAGATTCAGAATTACTGAAACGTGACTGAAACAAAACACAATTCCAGGTATGTTTTTGATGATGAAACAACAAAAAAGTTTGTCAGTTTAGAATGACAGAGGACATTTATTCACTAATGTACTCCTTCAGTATTCTATTATGTATTCTGCTTTTGTCTGCTTTATAGTTGTAATCTATGACACCATACCCATGGACCATTATTTTATATTTTGGTGATTTTAAATTGCAGTATTGCTCTAAACTCACTAAAAAAAAAAAAAAAAAAAAAAGTCAGGTTACTTCCTACTGATAACTGCTGCTGCCAGACCCTGCAGACTAGGGATCCAATAGCGTCAATTTTATTTTTTATTTTTTGGTACCAAAATGACTAGGCAACGCTGTTGAATCCTACATCACCAGTCAAGAAGCTAAAATGCTCAGAACAAAGTACAGAGTAGTAGTGGTCTATAGGGGGATATTGGAAAATGAGAATTTTCAGAGCAATGGCATCTTGAATACAGGAGAATAAAGATTACTCGAACATGTATGAAATATTCTGAAACCAACTGACTGTGCAAATGAGAATGGTTCTGAAAAGCCCTGAAAAGTCAATTTAGCATAACCCTTTAAAAATATAAAACATCTTCAGCTAAACATATGTAGATATTATCATGCCCTTACCAAAACGTGTATAGTTACAGACACTGGCAGCAGCTTGGTTTGGGGCTACACTCTGGATTGCAACAGGGCTCTAGGCTTGGGTTAAGTCCCTTTCCTATCTGGCTCTCTCCAAACTCCATGGAGGCCTCCAGACTGGCCTTGACCTTCATGATCTCATCCAGAACCTGTTGGAGATCAGGGCGTTCCTTCAGTGAGAGGGGGTAGTGCTCTGACGGGTCACTCTCCAGGTCAATCAGAAGAGGAGGGTCATGGAACTGAAGAGGGGCAACGCAGTCAGGGTCCGGTACGGTGCTGCTTTTGACAGAACCTGGTACAAAACAATGCTTAGTCAGTAGAGAGTGGTCTGTATTAGGTTTATGACTTATGTTTTAGTGTTTGTGTGGACAGGCAGACAAAAGTGAAGTAAAAACATAAGTTAATGGGATCCTTCAGGTATATATTTGTAATAAAAACCCATAACTAAATAAAAACAAGATAGATAAATTTAATGCCAGACTTTGCAACATTCCAGCAATAAAGTCTCTAGAGACAAGCAGGTCGTAGATACTCCACAAGAAATGTTAAATGGTGTGCCAACATGGTGGTTGGAGTATCAAGCTGCAGGTGATGATGAGTCACTGTATTATTTATGGTTTAAGATGGTTTATAGAATATCATTGTTGCTAGCTGATGGTCCGTGGACAGGAGTGACAGTCTAGGCTTTCAACAAGATACTTTGATATGAAGGGAATTTAAGCAGTTCAATAAACCAAAGAGCAACTTCACTAAAGATTTATGGACACACAGTAAAGGCACTACCACATAACATCAGCTGATGAAACAGTAAAAAGAAGTGTACCTTGTGTATAGAAGTAAGCCTTGTATTTCCTCAGCCTTAACGCAAAGAGGCCACGCTTCTTACTTGGGTTTAAGGACCAGAACATCATCACCTCCCTTTTACTCTGCAAACCAAATATAAAAGCTAGTTTAGCCTTCACAAAAAACATGCAGTTTTACTGCATGTTTTTTTTAAAGACATCAGTACCTTGCCATGACGAAGGAGGATGTCTGTCATGTCCACTCCATCCAAAACCACAGGTGGCAGTGTGGCTCCTGACAGTTTGGCCATAGTTGGCAGGATGTCCAGAGTGCTGGCCAGTTCATGAGTAACACCTGACAAAAGACAACGTAACATGAATAAATATAAGTTATCATATCCTGTGCCGTTAGCTTCTGTGGATGAATGGCTTGAAAATATTGCTCTGAAACACCAACTTAAAGGCACTCTAATTTTTATCATCTTAAAATGTGAAAACCAAAGCTAGTTCTGAGCATCCTAAACATTAACCATGATGAGTTTATAATCACTTTTCACAGCTCTCAGAGAGCAGAGCAGAGCTTTGTTGTGGTGGTAAAAGTAACAACAACTAGCATGCATCCTGATTATCGAACAGAAACATGCTTTCAAACAGTAATCAGCGAACATATTTTGAGCTGCTTATACAATATATCTGAACTGCTGTGTTTTGACGTTTGCTATTTCCTTTGTAAAAAGTCAATTCAAACTCTTAAAGTTCTAAAGTTACCAAAAAAAAAAAAAAAACACTTATCAGCCATTAGATTGTGAGCCCTTTTAAAACAGTATAATAGCACACTATACTAACCAGGCTGGATTCTTCCAAGCCAGTAGGCGATGGCAGGCTCTCTCACCCCTCCTTCATATGTCGTCGCCTTACCACATTTCAGAAGACCAGCCGTACCTCCACGAGACCTCCGTAACAGCTCAGGTCTAGAACAAAAAAAAAAAACCACTGTAATAGTTTTCATGATAACTAATACTGCTTGTTTTGTTTTTAGATTTTTTTTTAATATATATTCTAAAAGGAATGCACAATACAAAACTTGACAAGAGAGGGCTATACAGTAGATAATTCATTTTTAAAGATTGTTAGGATTATTGTGACTATGTCTATAGCCAGTCCCTTTTTAATGCATGTACTTTGGAACAATGTTTAGACTTTGCCTAAACAAATTTTACATTTCATGATCAATCAAATGTGGACAAAATTTTATATTTCTTTTGGATATCTCCAAGCCCTAAATAAAATCCCTAATTCACTTTTGTTCCCACAGTCAAATACTAGCAGATTACCAGTCTTAAAAAGGTAATTTTGATAGAATACATTTAAATACATAAACTTACATTTGTATTATTCTTCTAAAATTATTTCTACCATGCTGTCACATTTTCATAATTGTAGTGAGTGGTAAGATCAATCCATTTCTGACATTCTAATTCTCAGTACTGCATGCTGCTAGCATTGGACTATGATAAATACAACAAAACATACTTAGGATTAGGGTTGGGTTTAGGGTTAGAGTAAGAAGAACTACAGACCCGTTGTCTGCGGAGAAGAGGACCAAAGTGTTGTTGAGGACCCCGGTCTTGTCCAGGGTGGCCATAATGTCTCCGATGGTGTCATCAAACTCTAGCAGAGCATCTCCAAAAGGACCTCTGGAAGTCCTCCCTGCTGCCCTCATGCCGGCATACTGGGGGTAATGTGTGTGCTATAGGGAAAAAAGCAACTATCAGATTTCTATTGCTGTCAGAATGTAATTTAAATCAAAGTATGAGACAATTTGAAAGGTCAGCATTTAGCAAATATTACTATATTTACTATAGGTACAGTAATATTGAAAGTTAACCTTCTATATTTCCATAGCGTCTTAAACCGTGTCAAAATTGGGACAAAGCTGTTTGAGTTAGTTTAATCTAGATGTAGACTTGGTTTGGTCCTTTTCTAGTTCTGCTTTAAACTTGGTCTAGTCCAGCATTACTTCGAATTTATAGTCTATTTATAACTGAACAGGACTAAAACAGGTCTACATAAGGACTGGGCACAAACCAGGACCAAACAAGGACAACTGTGAATGTACCCTTATTATGTATCTTTAACTTGTTCAAACGCAGGTAATGGTTGATTAGTGTAGCACTCCTATTTCAGTTTTCTCCTCCGTTTATTGTTGACATTACTGGGCAGTTTTAAAGCAAGTACTATGATCTAAATACTAGCCTCCCTTGGTACATTGTACCCATCTCAAAAATTATAACATGTTTTACTGCGTAACAACTTGTAATATGTTAACGAAACTCACCTAACCGACACCTAAGTCAGTAAAGTAGTAGTTGTAGGATATCAAGTACAATGTAATCAAAGTACTTGATAATTTTAATATAAGGTAGACTGAATTGAATGAATGAATATTTAGAACAGTAAAGCATAGAACATGCATAGAGAACATAAATACACAGATATACTACAAAGAGTAAATATTTCTTTTGTACAGAATTAAGATAAAATTAAGTGTTGAGTACTGTTGTGTGAAACATTTACCTTGGGATCAATAAATGATCTCTCTCTCTAAAAAACTTGATTTCTATACTAATGAATAGACTTGATTCTCAATACTGATATCACAATGATAATAAAAAACACTGTTTCTTTAGACAACAGAATGTCATTTAAATCGTAGTACTTTCTTTTATATTATTATGGTACCATTATATTTCTGTACTCCTTCAGTCATAGATTGGGTTGTATACTAGCCTATATGCTCTTCTACTTGTTCTGATACAGCTCAAGATCTTTCTAAAGTTATTCAGTAAAGGTTCATTTCTGTCCTGTGAAAGGGGTACTGAGTAGGGGGTATTAGTATTGATATTTGCTCAAATGAGTATCTAGTTTTTGGTACTGATTCATATTTTCGATAGTTTTGACAACACTAGTGTAGTGTTAAATAGAATAGTAAGATAATATTCACTGTAGTCTTGCTTACATGGGATGGATAGTAGAGGAAGAAGGGCTGTTGCTTCTGGGCTGAGGTCAGAATGAAATTAGTTGCAAAGTTGCTGTAAGCCTTCTCCAGCTCCAGGAAGTTGGCTGGTTGCTGTATAATCTTGTCGTTCTTCATCAGTGGGACAGTTACGACTCCAGTATCACACTGTCCAAAACACTTCACGTCCGGAGGGAAGCAGGTCAGGTTTGCACACGGGCCCTGGAAGGAATTACACAACTGTTATGTCAACAAAAATATGTGTTACAAATGGACATGGTGTAAGAAACATGGACTTAATTAACATGACTAAAACAGTACTCTTTTTTTTTTTTTTTTTACAAAAAATGGCAAAATTTACTGTATATTAAAGGAATTGTATGTACCCTGTGTTCTTCTTGTTTTAAAAATGTACTACAATCACAGCTGAAACTGGGCTGCCAGTGCCTCTACCTGCATATAGAGGGCACATAGTTTTTTCTCATCTCAGTACACGGACAGGCCAGGCCTCATGTGAAAGCTCAGAACCTCCAAATTCACTCACTGAGCTGCAGAGGTTGTACTAGCACTGACTGGCTGCAGATGCTGGGTTCAGGAAGAGAAAATTGATCCAAGAGTTATTTTAAGTTGTGGAATCCAGCATTGATCCAAATGAGAGACTCATAAGAGGCTCATTCTGCTTTCTGATTGGGTAATCATCTTGAGATGCAAAAGACCAAATTGTAACATAATTAATGTACAATGTTTTTGTAATTAAGAATAAATCTAAAGCTATATTTGATTGATATCTTATATCTGTGGACACTGAGGTTAGCTGTATGACATTTAAAAGCTCTTACATAAAAAAAAAAAAAAAAAAAAAAATCAAAACAAAACAGAATAATTGTTATTATATAGTAAATTAATAGGCGGAGAGAATAATTTGAACTATTTTCTGTTAAATGAGACTGATGCCTCTGTCTTGTTTATGTTATTGAAATAAAAATGTAAAGGCATATTCATTTGTTTTTATATATAGAAAATGGCAAAACTTTATTGCCGTCTTTCACTAACACATGCAGAACAACAATAAAGGAAAGAATTAAGTTCCTTAGAATCAGTTTCTTTGCCTAATAATATGATGTCTGCTTGAATAAACATGCTGACCTGATCATGGGAGTATGGGATCCCAAGGAAATGGTCAAATCCATGGTTGGTGGGCAGGTACGTTCCGTTGGTCCCTAATCCCAGATGCCACTTCCCGATTGCGGCTGTGGCATATCCCAGCGGTTTTAACATGGCAGCAATGGTGGTCTCATTAAGAGGAAGACCTCCAATGGAGCCTGGGTACAGGACCCCAGGATAGATCCCCGAGCGCGTCTCATATCGGCCAGTCAGTAAAGCAGCTCTGTGGATGGGAAAGAAAAATAATTTGGAAATAATGAACACAACCAATGTTATGTTTAAAGGGCATCATAACTTACCGTTTTCTGATCTATGTTATAATGTGGTGGCCAAACCTCCTAGTCAAAGCCTAACTAAGGATGGTCAGGGCTAGTTATTACTTGAATGGGAGACCGCTGCGAAAATCAAGTATAACAGTGGGGTGCTAGTAGCAAAAAGCTGGTGTTGTGTCCTTAGGCAAGACACTTCTAGCACATTGCCTAGTATCAAAGTGGTGTGAGCGTAGAGTGTTGGTGGTGGTCGGAGGGGCCCATGGTGCAGATTGGCAGCCTCAATTTGTCAGTCCATCAGAAATGGCAATCCATAAGAAATGTGCAAGTCAGTGTTGTAATTTCACATTCAAGAATTGCACAAAATGCGAATGGACTTAAAAGTTCAAAAACAACAAAATGAGATATTATAAATGTTTCAGTAGGCTTAAGTTGCCTCCCACCTCTGACCCTAAAAGTAAAGCACATGGATTAACCTATTGATTGTGTGAACAGATGGTTCAAACAGGTCTAGCTTGATACATGGCTGTTACTGGCAAACAGGTGTATTCATGGGCTGAAATGTCTCGTGATATAAGGTTGTTTGCTCATCAGAAACATACCTGGAGCTGGCTTAAAGCTCACGAGTGAATTATTTGCGTAATATAGGACCTTTACCTAGAAAAAATGTGAAGGTGCGATGTGTACCATGGGTCATTCTTGTTATAGTTTTGGATATTTTCTGAATTCTAAATTATCTTAAATGTGGTTCATCGAGTGTTTGGGGCCGACGCATCCTCCTGACAGGTGCAATGCAATTATATAAAGTCCAAGCTAAACATTTTACTTTAGCATTTGTCTGTCCTAAACATAATGCACAAAGTCTCCGCTCACCTGGACGGGCTGCAGCCACCTACAGTGACGTAGAAGTCGCTGAAGCGCAGTCCTCCCTTCGCCAGCTTGTCCAGGTTCGGAGTCACGGAGGAGGGGTGCCCGTAACAACCCAGATCCCCGAACCCAAGATCATCCGCGAAGAAAACGACAAAGTTTGGCGGTGCTGCGGAACTCAAACACAGAAATAAGACGCTCAAAAAGACTGTTATTACGTTCACCATTGTTTCACCTGGTTATCAAACAAGTGTACAGAGTAGAAAGCCGCATAGCGCAAGTATAGACAGGGGAAGTGGGCACAGAACTAGTTTGGCTGCATTCGCTTTCATTATAACCACGTGAGAACCTTCCTTAAACCCACTATGGAGGATTTTTATTTGAGTTTATTTGAGATTATTTGAGTTTGTTTGAGTGACCTCATTATTGTGCGCGTAAGACAAGTTTGGAGATTTTCCTATCAATCATTTTGCAAAAGATGTTATCATTATGCACGTTTTCTACTTCCTCTTGGTGTCACGTGAGCAGAGTGCAGGTGTAACGTCACGTATTCTCCACAGGTGTATTTTTATTTATTTATTTTGCAGGTAATTTTATCACTTGTTTGTTCAGTCAAATGCTGCAAAGCAATGTTTGACATATTATTGGACTTGGCCCAAAATATTTTTTCCCTTTTTCTTTTCTTCAAAAATTTATTTTGTTAATTTTTTGCACTGACAAACATGCATCCTTACTGAGTGAGCTTGCATCTCCACTAACCTGACTCTTATTTAACCTAAAGGGGGGCTTTTTTCCATGGAAATGTTGTTCCTTTGGCTATAACATAACACAGTATGGCATAGAACTTATCTGTCGCCATGGAGAATGTTCCAAAGTATGATTTACACTTTCTTTTTCCACATAATCATGCAAGTGACATGCCACCTCCAAAATGTTTCATACTGTCTGTGCCTTTATGATCTTACTGACAAACATCTATTCCTTAAAATTGCCATTTTATTGCAAAGAAGTTGTAAAATTACAAAACATAAACCACAATTAAACATTAGCAGCATTATTCACACAACAATTTTACAGTTATACATAGTGATTTTTTTTTTACTAGCACTGGAGTTGTGGTTCTGAAACTATGATTAAAAATTTAATTGACAAGTAAAAATTTACAGTGTATCAGATACAGTACAGTAGGCTAGTGCATTTTTATAATACAAATCTGTAATTTACAGGGTTTACAAAGCCCTGCTCCCATTTCATTCCTCTAGCTACTTCATACAAAAAGTTAAAAGTCAGGTTTCTTTATCCTTTACTTGTTGCAAATACTATTTTAGTCAAATAATGCTGTTAAAACATGTACTACCTTAGAATGATGAGAAATGATTGTCAAAATCATTACAAAATGTTTAAAATCTGAAATAGCCAATATAAGTTCAGAGGTACGGCCATGTTTATCAAAAAGAAAATCTGAACAAACATTATGAAATTTTGTATATCTGTTAAAGGAGTGGACCTCTGAAACAATTGTACAGAAGACCTAAAATAGCTTACCACTCTTTCACTTTAAAAAGAAATTTAAATGTTTAACTCTGGGTAGACATTATGAATACTTAGTTTGTGTTAAAGTACTTTGTTGTACTGTTACTGGCCTTGTTTGTTTCCTCTTGCTGTGTTTATGAATATGAACTGGTCTTAAGATGATGCTATGGCAAAAGAATACAGGGTAGGCATAATAAGCTCAAGTGTCAGCCTACATGTTTTCTGACTGTGCATGTTAAATATGACTGACTGTGGAATAAAGTCAGAATATACTGTACCTGTGACTAAAATAAATTAATCAATCAATCAGTCAATGTGAGTTTAAAAAGCAGATTAAAAAGAAAATCAAGTCTTTCCTTGAGTTCAACCAATAAAAAAAAACAAAAAAAACCAAACAATTTTCTTAGCAACTGCAACAGCTTGGTTTTGGACTACATTCTGGGTTACAGCACGGCACTAGGTTGCGGTCCCCTCCCTTTGATATCTCACTCTGGGCAAACACCATGGTGGCTTCAAACTCTGCTTTCACCTGCTTGATCTTCTCTAGCACATCTTGCAGCTCTGGTTCACCAGACAGGGACAGGGGGTAGAACTCAGAGGGGTCCATCTCCAGGTTAAAGAGCAGAGGAGGGTCGTGGTACTTCAGAACAGCGAATACGGGGCAGTCGGCATCTGGTGTGGTACCGCTGTGAGCAGCACCTGGGGAAAAGATGTAGTATTTTTCATGTATTTAATTTGATTATTTGCTATACATAGGTTTCAGAATGAGGAAAAATTTTGACGGTTGCCACAGTGATTAACTATTTAAAACTTCTATTTAAAATTCTTTTGAATGTGGAAACATGTTCAAAATGTTGCATATAGGAAACTGAAATCCATAAACAAACTCTTTAAAATGCTAAAATGCTGTTCAAAATTACAGTGCATTTTCAAAGATTAACTGACATCACATCTAAATGCTAACGGTTTTAAGTCTTTATAACTCAATAAAATAATACATAAATAAATAAACATTAAAAAGTACAATTTTGAATTTTCCATCTGGAAAAGCCAGCTAGAACTTATAAATAGAGAAGCAGGCTATTTAGAGTACTATTCAGAGTATTATTTTCAAAACTCCAAATTGTACTTTAGTATAACAGTAGCATCTCTTTAGATAATTGTGGGCTCAACATTTACCCCAGTAAAGCCTAAAAATAAAAATTTAGCCTTAGCTAAAATGTGTGAAAGTGTATACACAAATAACATAAAATAAAAATAAATAATGTAAAATGCATCTGTAAATGTTTTCCAACCAAGGTTATAATTTGCCAAAACAAACTTCCTTTTTCACATTTTATTCCATGACTAATTCCAATTTCCTCACTGAAATTGCATTCATAAACTTCACTTTTGTCTCTGTGCCAACGTTCAGAAATTATTTAATAATGCATCAATTTCATATAGCGCTTTTCTGGACACTCAAAGACACTTCACAGAGCATTATTCATTCACTCCACACTGTGGAGGTAAGCTACTAGTGTAGCCACAGCTGCCCTGGGGCAGACTGACGGAAGCAAGGCTGCTAATCTGTGCCATCGGTCCCTCCGTCCACCACCAACACTCACACACCACTTTCGTAGTAGGCAATGTGGGTGAGGTGTCTTGCCTAAGGACACAATGACAGTTTTTTTGTGACTGGCGCCCCACTGTGGCACCTGATTTTCCCAGCAGTCTCCCATCCAAAGCCCGGCCCTGCTGAGCTTCTGAGATCTGACGGGGTCAGTCTTCGACAAGCTGGTATGGCCGGTATTTGTTTATGAAATTTTAACAAGGCTATATAGTTTAGGGTTAAGCAGCCTACCTCTTGTGTAGAAGTGAGCCTTGTATTTCTTATACCGCACAGCAAAAAGGCCATACTTCTCACTGGGGTCTGTGGGGTAGAACATCATCATCTCACGAGCACTCTGCAAACAAGAACCAAAGCCTAAATATATGAAATAAACATGCTGGCTTTAAGATGATCAAACTGGTGGAGAATGTGGTCTTTGTTTTTTAGGTTTTATTTATTTATTTTTATTTCGTTATGCCACTTTTGTTTTGATGATTTAATCTTTTTTTATTAAAATTATATAAATGTATATTGTCAGATAAAATTTTAAACAATGTTTTTGTGCTAACTGCCTATTGCTGGCTTTTACTTAGCTGGCTGTTGTAATTGTAACCAACTTATGCTACATGTTGTGTGGCTTTTACATAGAACTATAGATAATTTTTTATTATTTTTTTTACATATTGGATTGGTTTAACAAACTGTCTATCCTTAATAAATACATGAATAAACACATATGTTCAGTGAACAATGCACAGTACTTCTATGTAACGAAAAATCATACAAATCTTATGAAATAATAAAGTATATTTCCTGCACCTTTCCTTGATGAAATAGAAGGTCTGTCAAATCTACCCCATCCAGTATCACAGAGGGAAGTTTGGCCCTAGCCAGGCTGGCAAAGGTTGGCAGGATGTCCAAAATGCTGCCCAACTGATGAGTCACACCTGAAATACAGAACATGTTTATAAAGTTATAGGCTGGGTTTAGGTGACATCACAACATTATAGATTCCCTATTGTTTAAAACTGACCTGGAGGACAGGTCAGATTTCTATGGTGGAATTTGTCAGATTGTAGACATTTTTAACTGGTTTGTGACTAATTAAAATATCTGGGTCTGTTAGTTTACCCTCTGATCACATCATCAAAGCTTGGCCATGTCTGATGCTGAGGTTTTGGCTCTTCTTTGTAATAGTAAAAGTTTATTATTCTTGAACTTTACAGTTCCATCAACTTCAGCTCCCTTCATTACCATTTCACTATCTATAGTTAGGTTACCATGGCCACAGTCTAAACTGTTCGCCTGCTTGGCTCCCTGAACTGGCCTTTATTGGGCCTACCCACATGAACAACTGACACAAAGTTCAACATCTTCTCTACACAAAAGTGAAATTATTTTTTTCACAATAGCTTTCAAAAGTGGTGCCATTATTCAATGCCAATAGAGTGTTTGTTGTCAGCCAAAAGACTTCAAACTATGAGATTAATACTGTAGGTGTGGATTTCAATTTTGGATATTTCTTATAAAAACTGTGAATCTCCCATAGAGTTGCACCTACCACTGGCATCATCAAATTATAAAATATGAATGCTGCCTATAAATTTCCGCTGTTTAATAACTGTAAAACTAAAATGTGTAATATTTACTTATATTATAATATTTGAATATGGATTTGCATTACATCACATGCTTAATACAATACTAACCAGGCTTTATAGTTCCAGACCAATAGGCAATAGCAGGTTCTCTCATGCCTCCCTCATATGTGGTGCCTTTACCACATTTTAGGAGGCCAGCGTTACCTCCTTTCGACATTCGCATTAACTCAGGCCTAAAATTAAAGGGCAAACAACATTAATTGTAAAAGACATGATGCTTAATTTGCACATACCAGCTCAGACTTTTGGGGAAGGTTAAGCCCTACCTGTCTCCTAACCATCATTTTACATCTCATCATGATCTGGGCAGCACTTTGGGGCAGCACTGTCTGTATTTAAATGTGCTATATAAATAAACTTTGATCTTGACCCTGACCTTGATCATGACATACACATATGTCCCATAGTTGGACTAGATAAACCTGTTGTTATTAGGTCAGATAAAAGAGATTATAAATAAGATATGAAGTAGGTGAGCTTTGTGCCAGTGAAAAAAAATTTCCTCAAGTAACCTTCACCAGATCTTGGTCAGGAGAATAAGACTATATTGTGCATGTATTGGTTTGATGGACAAATTGCAGTACCCAGAAGAAACCCACTCAAACAAAGTGAGAACATGGAAACTCCACAGAAAGTCAATACTGGAAATAAAACCTGTGCCCTTCTACTTGGGGTAGAGCTTGCTTGGGGTATGAGATGTTGCCATAATGTATTTATCTTATTATTTTTAGGGATTATTCCAGTAACAGTAATCAGATCTTTAGAAAACATGTGAAAAGTACTCAAACATGCCTGCAGTCTTAAGTGCAGTTGATGAAGTAACTAATAAAATTAACCATGAAATTTTATTATCTAATTAAATCAGACACAAACCCATTGTCAGACGTAAAAAAGACGAGTGTATTGTTGATGACGCCTGCTTTCTCCAGAGCGGCCATGATGTCTCCTACAGTGTCATCAAATTCAGCCAGAGAATCTCCAAATGGACCTCTTGAAGTTCTCCAAGCAGCTCTTTGGCCCGCATACTGAGGGTAGTGTGTGTGCTAGGAGGAAGACAAGGCAAGATCAGAGCTCAGTCAACATGGTCATTATGAAAGAGAGTATTGTGCAAAATTCACTTTTAGAAGCTTTCTATCATGTTAAAATGCTGTTCCCTCATCAAAAACATGCCGGAAGTGGTTATGTTATCCATGCATGTTTGAATAACCTAGCAACCTCTCCTAGGCTCTATTCGAAACCACCATATGGCTAGCAGTATAATCCTGTCCAAGACTCGGCTCAGGTCATCCATGCTTCTGCACTGCAGTTTTAAATATACAAAAGTATAATACAAGAGAATGCAATACAACTTGATAAACTTGATGTGTAGTAGTAGTGTAGTGTAGTGTAGTTTCATTAACAGAATGCATACCGATTGTGTTGTGATAGCGCTCTGAACTGGGAGTTAGTACAGAGTGCAAAGGGGAGGGGAGACTCAAACCATGAAAAACACAAGTAAACATTATATCAATTATTAAATAAAACTATAAACATTAAAAGGTATGGTGATCTAAATATGTTATGTGTTAGAAATTAATACCTAATTGAAGTATTAATAATTCCACCTGTAACTTACATGGGTTGGATAGTAGAGGAAGAAGGGCTGTTGCTTCTGGGCAGAAGTCAGAATGAAATTAGTTGCAAAGTTGCTGTAAGCCTTCTCCAGTTCCAGAAAGTTGGCTGGTTGCTGTATGATCTTGTCATTCCTCATTAGTGGGACAGTTACCGTGCCAACATCGCACAGCCCAAAACACTTCACATCTGGAGGGAAGCAGGTCAGGTTTTTACATGGGCCCTGGGGAACAGTGTTGGATAGTTACTAAAACGTGCTATAATTGAAAAAGCATTTAAAAAATTATGGCTGAATAATGAAAGAAAATCAAAGTTCAAATTTCCAACTGCAATCGGGTTCAACTGTTATCCTTTGCAAATATCCCCTAGCCATTGTACTTGAAAGTAGTGCAATATGAAACAAAATGTTATTTTTGTTACATGATTTCAAAATTTAATATACATTTGACACTATAAAAACAAGGGTAAATTTGGGATTAACAGTTTAGTAAGGAAGAACAGTCTGTCCTCTACTGCGATTTATGTAGCCTCTTGTGAAATGGATTACTTTATTAGCCATTATTGCAACACCAATAATGAGATGTTCATGCGTTTCAGCTTCCTGTTTATAAGCAACATTTTGGGGAATTTTTACCAATCGAAAGATATATATTATCTAGTTCATGTGTTATGTCTGGGACAAAGGACAATGTATGTGCAAATGGATACACATTTTATCGCCCTGAACCCCAATAATAATTCAGTGTTTTCTCAAATATGAATGCGCCTGGACCTGTTTAAAGAGTTTAAAGAGAGTTTGGAGATTTTAGATGTTATCCATGCATGTTTGAACAATCCTGCAATCTATCCCGAGCACTAATCAAACCCTTCTTACAGTTAGCTGTGAGATTCTGTTCAATGCTCAACCCCACTCTACAATTTTTCATAGATTTACAAAAGCATGACACAAAACAATTAATACCCCATAGAAGTGTAATACCTCCTATTTAAATATCCATACTTGCCAGTATGAGTACATCTTTTTTTTTTTTTTTTTTTTTTTTAATCATTCAGCCTTATTTAATATCTTGTTTGCATAGCTCCACATACCATGTCATGGGAATAGGGAATCCCCAGGTACTCGTCAAAGCCCTGGTTGGTTGGGAGATAGGTCCCATTGGCTCCATAGCCCAGATGCCACTTCCCCACAGCTGCAGTGGCATAGCCCAGAGGCTTTAGCACCTCCGCGATGGTGGTCTCGTTCAGTGGCAGACCCCCGATAGAGTCCGGGTACAACACTCCTGGGTAGATGCCTGTACGGGTCTGATAACGGCCCGTCAGCAAAGATGACCTGCGGATGAAAAACATCAGTCAATGTGACAATATGATATTTGGTCAACAAGAACAAAACAATACAAGTTTCCTTCCTCTAAAAAGCAACAAAAACTGTAGCACTGCTCCGAAATAATTGATGGTTTATCTTATATTTATCTTATCTTGCAGCACAAGTTCTAGTCCCATCCATGTTGAATATGTTTGAGAGTGATTTTTTTTATTATATTACAATAAGTTAAATTATACATTGAGCTATATTTGATACGAAACTAGCTGTTCTTTTTAAACAGTGGTATTCATGGGTTTCAAAACCATAAAAAATCTAGATAGTTGCTACAGCAATCAACAGTTTAAAACTACCTATCCTATCATTTGAATGGTGAAGAGTCCTCACAATGTTGTCTATCCGAGTTGAACCACAAATATAGACACTAGAGTAATTATCAAAATCTTATATTATTATCTCTAAGCAGTGGAGAAATATTAACCATATTCATCTGTATCATCATTATGTAACATGCATAACAGTCAACAGCCCTGGCTGTTGCTTTTCACATATTCGCTTGTTCTGTTGATGTAAATAACTGTATTAAAGGATCATTCCATGCCAAATATCCGAATGCCCCCGCTCGACCATCTCAGATTTGACTGAAAAAAATTCTAGGAGGTTCTCACACTTCCCCATAGGAAAAGTTCCAAATTTTAGCTCCCAACTCCTTATAGTTTTATCATTAAAAAAATATTTGAGCAGAGTTTTCTCTGCCTCTTTCAGACTGTTGCATCTAAATAACTATTGAAGGTAAGTCCTTAAAATTTTCAAGGGTTAAAATTTGGCAAATGTACTTGTAGAATACGGACTTTTACACATGTGCTTTTGATTCATTTATCACAGATTTCTGAGGGCTTGAATTTGCTAGAAAATTCTACTCTTCAAATATATAAGGGCATATTTGAAGGACTGTGGAAAGTGCAACTTCAAAGACAGAGGTTTGATATTGAACATACACCTTCCCACACATGCTGTGTACTTTGTATTTTAAAACTGACCCTCTGTGATGAACGCTCTAGAAGATATTAAGTGTTAAAAATGGAAAAAAGAAATTCTGTGCCATCTTAACCATGTATACCAAAAAAATGACACCACTCACCAACATAAAATAAAAAAAGTTTTAGAAAGACTAGATGTCTGTTTTTAACATATCCAGAATTTGTGATGGTGTTCAGCATACATGCATAGCATTCGTGGATTATGAAAGCACTTTCAGAAGCTACGAAAACACTCTGATTTAATTTTTCCAGTCAAATATGACATGGTCGAGCTGGGACATTCGGACATGTGGAGTGGAATGACCCTAAATATTTTTCAAGAAAGCAAAAGGTGGGTAATTTGAAGATTTTAATTAGTTATAAAATATAAAAAGAAATAGTAGTGTTATTTAACTTTTATTGCTACATAAAACCACACATCTTATTTCGTATGGTTGTTAAATGTATGTATATTAAATGTAGAAAGTAGTATTCATATAGAGACAAAACAGAGAGAGATGTGTCCAAACTTTTGATTGTTTTATATATAGACAGCAATAATGTTACCTTAACCAAAGCTGGACTTGATGTTTAATGGCTGGTTTAGCGCCTTCACTTTAAGCAAATTACAGAACAGACCCCCGTCCAAGGGCGCTCACCTGGAGGGACTGCACACCGGACTGGTGCAGTAAAAGTCGGTGAAGCGCAGCCCACCCGCCGCTAGCCTGTCCAGGTTCGGTGTCAGGGAAGTCGGATGTCCGTAACAGCCCAAGTCCCCGTAGCCCAGATCATCGGCGAACAGGAGCACGAAATTGGGCTGAGAGGCAGAGGACAGAAATAAGAACAAGATGTTTATAAAGACTACAGCGCAGAGGTCAGACATTGTGAGCTTTCCACCCGTGCGTAAGTGAGCATCTGAAGCAGAAGCGTGGAGAAGCGTAAAACACGGAACCAAAACAATGTCACGTGTTCTGCTTTTGTTACGTGGTCAGTTACGCACACGCCCTGAAACGTCTGACGCAGAGTGCTTTTTTTTTTTTTTTTTTTTTTTTTTTTTTTTTTTCAAAGCTAAATCTAAGTGGAAAGCTAAGTTAATGCTGCTGGAAGAAAGTAAAATGTGTTAGTATATATACGTAGCGTTACGTAAAGACTATAGGTAAGCGTATTAAAGCTCTGTAGCCTAGCATGCTCTGGCCAAGATTCACATGAAGTAAAAATGCTTCCAAAATCCACCTAATTTCAAGTAGACAGATCTATAGCATGTATAAGTTGGCTACATGATGGCCTGAGAATACATACACAAGCTGAGAATATAAACCGTACAAATCCAAAACAACTATACTGTATTGTTTTGGATTCGTAGAGTTTAGATTCTGAGCATGGGCCCAGATGTTACTAACAGAATTCAATGTGAAATGTTTAAAACTTTTTACTTCAAAGAGGTTATCCAATATTATTTCCAAACAAAGATTATTTTTAACAGACCAGTGTGTTGTTTACACATATCTTGACTTGTTTCCCTTTTTCAAAAGGGTCACGCGATGTTAGGGTGAAGAATCTTGCAGCTGATTTACACAGATTTTGGCACCATTCTTGTACCTTCATTGGTGGGGGAATAGCGCCACCTGCAGTCCAACTTCTCGAGGACAGCATCCCAGGTCTTTGAAAGTTGATAGGCCCCCTTGTCCCCGTTTACTGCCCTATGGACAGTGTTGGGGAGTAACGGATTACATGTACCGCCGTTACGTTATCAGAGTACAAATTATGAGTAACTGTATTCCGTTACAGTTACTGTTTCAATGAGTGGTAATTGGATTACAGTTACTTTGCTGAAAGAAGTGGATTACAAGGCGGTATTTTCCTGTTTTCACATTTTGTGCTACATCCCATTTATTTATTTTTTTAATTCGGTAATTCCACTCATTGCCGGAAACCCAAACAGAACGCGCGCAATAAGAGCGATGTAAACGTCATGTTAAAGTTGGCGGTGTCAGTCACACAGTGGAAGCAGCAGTGCATTGGTAAAAACACATTTGTGTCTTGGAAATTATTCTCCCGATGTGAGATATATATATAAAAAAAAACAAATATAAAAGGCTATGGGCTTGTCTCAACAGCCTCCTTACATCACTGCAACATCATGTGACTCTTCCGAAGAAGGGAAACATGTCAAGGAATGTGTAAACAACACATTGGTCTGTTAAAAAGACAATTTTAACAGACCTTTTCCTTGGAAATATTATTGAAAGACTGAAATGAATCTCTTTGATGTAAAAATTCTAAACATTTTACATTTAATATTGTCAGTAACGGTTGACAATCTAAATGAGAATCTAAATTCCTATATACAGTCCAAACTACTATATCTATGAAAGCATATGCCAGTCTTGTAATATCATATGACCCTTTTGAAGAAGGATGCAGAACGCATCCGAAACATGTCAACTTATGTGTAAACAACAAACTGGTCTGTTAAAAAGAACCTTTTAAACAAATTTTTAACATATGTGCTTTTGCAGTTTGTTTTGTACTTTATGTTTATCTGCTTTAGGCTGATGTAATATTAAATATAATTTCATTAATTAAAAACTTTAATGCATTCTTTGTCCACAGCTGCTTCCTTCCTCTGACAAAAGATAGGAAGTCTGTCTAATGTGTGTCAGTTTCAGTGACTTAAATTCAGTTGTCTCTAAAATATATGGTAAACTTACAACATCCTATCACAAGTAAAATAGGGGGAATGGAACACACGTCTTTAGGAGTTACTGTTTAAAGTGCAGGTTTTCATGTGTTTTCTAATTCTGACTTGGTTTGGTGAGATAATACCAGCGGTAAATATTTCTCATAGTTTTACATCAGTAAATTGACATTTTGTGGAAAAAAAAGCTTTAAGCAAAAACTTGGAAAATACAGGACGTTGCACTGACTCCTAAAGCAGAATCCCTCTCCCTATGTCATCAACATGGAAAAGTCCTTCCAAAGTGCAAAGAACTAGTAAAGATCTTTCATATCATTTCAAATATAACTAAGAAATTAAAGCCGCGCGCGGCGATGGTGGCCCTCGCCCCGGCGCACACTCCCCTCCCATGCAATCTCCGGGGACTCGCGACCGCCCTGGCACGTCACTCTCTCTTCCCGACGTCCGCCCAGGCTGACAGCTCGTCCATTAGACACATTACATAATGCACCTTTAAATATTTTTAGGAGTCATTGCACCCCTGCTGGCCAACAGTGGAAAATGCACCATGTACATTATTTATTTTTTTGCTCATAGTCATGCACAGAACTTATTCCCTGAATTTGGTACAAATCCAATAATGTTGACATGTCATGTCTATTCTAGGGGGTGCTATAGAGTTCACTTTTCATATGCTTTATAGTATATTATATTCAGGCTGGGATCAGGCATTAGTGATTCAAATTTCAGCACAATCGGACAAAACCTGTTTGTGTAATCATTTTTTAACTATTTGTTGGGGGAGTCTTTGCGCCCCTGCTGGCCAAACGTGGAAAATGCATCATGTCCGTAATAGACTTTTTTGCTTGTAATCATGCGCAGAGTTTAATCCCCGAATTTGGTACAAATCCGATAATGTTGACGTTTCATGTCTATGCTACGGGGCGCTATAGAGTTCACTTTTATGAGATTTCATATTTCATTACATTCAGGCCTGGATCACACAATTATGATATGAATTTGAGTTCTCTAGGCCAATGCCTGTGGCCGTGACAGGTTACCGAAAAAACAGGAAATGAAGGCTCATTTGGACAAAACCCCGGGGACTTGAATCTTTTTGTAGACATGTTTGATCCAATATGGCCGACTTCCTGTTCGTCATAGGGTCATGCTCCAATTCATCTTTTGTCTTCTCTCATTGTTCTCTATCACTGTTCCGAATTTCGTTTCCCTGTGACAAACTTTGCTTGTCCCCACTCCCATAGAGGTCCAATTTTAGGCGGTGCTGTTGAACCGGGTCACTTTGGTCATTGTCACGATGCCAATTTTATCAAATTTTTCGCCGGGCCGATCGATCTGATACCCGGTTGTGGGACTTTTTATCCATGTTCAGGGGGTCAAAAATGCGATCATTTGGTCGGAAAAGGGAATAAAAAAAAGAAACCGACGAAGAACAATACCCCTCGCCCCTGGGCTAATTAGCAGTTTAACCTGTCATATGCCCTTTAATATCCCAAGCAGATACTTAAAAACCTAAATATTCTGGCATCATTTGTGTCAATAATGTAGAGATCCTGCTGTTTGGCAGTGTCCAGTGCTACCGTTTGGTCACTGTTGTTGGATACATTCCTTGAAGTGGAGGACATCCAGGAAGTGGGCTGCTGCCTCCTCAACAAGTTCACCTCAGGTCAGACCCTACAGATACAACCAGGACTAAACCATGACTAAAGCAGTTTCAAATCAGGACTAAACCAGGACTACAATATGACAAAATCAGGGCTAAACTGAGAGAAGGATGAGTGAGGCTGCCTCAGAAGCCTCACTGAGAACACCACACCAGAATGAACTCCAAGAATATTAACATTTGACAGAAGGCTGAAATAAGTAAGGATTAAATTGCACCAATGACACACAGCAGAGTGGTGTTACTCCACAGAGTGCATTAAAACAGCAGTTAGAATTAGAATTCTCACTGACCATGGTATAAGAACTGATAAACTAAGAGTCCCATGCATTTCATAACATGTTTGTTGAGGTCTAAAATACAGATTTTTTTTTTTTTTTCCACAAAAAGAGAATATTTTGTTCTTTGCAGAGGACATTCTGTTATCTAAATAAGTGCAACCTTTGCAGGTTTGGTAATTGTCCCAGCTCAAATTGCGATTTCCATGTTATTGTGATATATTGTGTATCCCTAAAGCTGGGAAATTTCAAGATGTTATAAATGATTTCCTAACTCACACTGTGCCATTTAATCTCATATGAAGTTCCTGAAGGGAGTATACACATGCACATGCTGCTCTCACCTGGCTTCAGCAGCACTCAGACCCCACAACTACCACAGATATTAAACATGTCTGATACCCCTGCAACCACACAATCAACTGTTGTGCGTTCATCGTGAGGATGTAACATGACATTGGTGCACAGAGGAGCTGAAATTTGACTCTATTTTATTATTGTGTGACTAAAATTGATGTCAAAATCTGCCTGTAAATCACACAGTGTAAGACAATGTTAACTCAGACCAGTACCTTCTATTCAGTATTTATCAGAAAATCTCAATTAAATATTTTTCAGAAATTGTCCAGCTCTAATCCATGACTATTGCTAACTACTGTTAGATACTGTCAATGATAATTACTCATCCAAAACATATCTGTAGGTGTATTTAGTGTGTTTTATGGTTGTTTCAATGTTATGTGTTAGCTCTTAATACCCCCAAAATACTTCCTCTTTAAGTTTTGCTAATTGTGACAAACTGCTGTTTAGATGTGATTGTGAAAGCTCTTCCATATCTATCAATAATTAATTAAAAAAACCCAAACCAAGAAATTATGATCATTTTGCAATCATGGTTACATTTCTTATATTTAGATGTTTATTTGCTCATGTGTCTTTATTGCCCAGCCTTTAATGGATTTGTGTTTTTTCTTTATTCAGTTTGAGAAATTTAGTCACAGTAATAACCAAATATAAACTACGTAACAATTCACCTGAAGAAACTAGTGTAGAGCGATTCACAAGCAAATTAAAAATAGAACTGGAAGAGTAATAATACTAACACACCTGAGCCATATCTAATGCAGTGGTTTTCTCAGTTCTTTATGTAACATGGAAACTCCCAGATATGAGTTTATAAATACTCTTCATCAGAAGGCCAGCACTGTGCAGTGTATGACCCATTTATCCTTAAAGCTACAGTTTAGAGAAAGACCCACAGACTAAAACAAAGACGAGAATTATAAGTGGCCGTTATAACAATATTTCTCAAACTGTGATC